CATTGTATACTTGTGTACTGATCCTTGCTGATATCTTTTGTACAGAGAAAATCGGGCACCATCGATCAATGGGAACATGAAGTTGGCTTTGATAATGCTGGTACTGGTCTTGGTTGCTCTTGTGGATTTGCACTAGAACATCTTATTATTTTTAGTGTTTATGTCTTCCATAGATAGGCACATGAAGTTCTCATAGTAGTACAGAGTTTTGATGTGTTTAGTCTGTTGATATTTGAGGCCGAAAGCGGCATTGGTGTAGTTTCTTCAACTGTAAAAACAGCCCTTAGCTAGGGCATTTCCTTCAAGTGTTGATTTGATATATTTCGATGGCGATAAGCTAACCTTAAGCTATTTTGAAATACCATTAAAATTCTACTAACACAGTGTAGTTTTATGTTGACAAGAGTTTTTTTTTTATCTTCCTTCCCTCTTTTTTGTTTGGCTTGATTTTCTTTTTTTTCTTTTTCACACAGTAAAAATAATGAAAAAATAAAATGGTACAGTTGACCCAAATTGGTCTAAATATAGAAAGGCTGATTAGTGGGCTGATAGGTCCATAGTCCAGAACACCCTAAAGCCCTATCACTGTGCTTGCAGATTGGCTCATTCATCAAGGACAACAAAATACCTTGATCCAACCCAATATCTTATTTATGCGTCTGCATAAAAATGTCGGGGGTACTAAGCCACGCACGGTATTTACCGGATAACGCCCGTATTTTTATATGAACTCCCTTAACTAACCCTTTATTAAATAACTCTTTAATCTTTACTCTTTCATTTTTACTTTTCTCTCTCTTCACCTTAAGAATTTCATCCACAACCACCACCAAGCAAACCACCACAATTTCGTCACCACCAAGCAAAGCCACGCAATTCCATCACCACCAAGGGCTTGCAACCAGCTACAAAGGACGATGTCAAGAAATCGAAAAGGTAAGGGGGTTGGCGATCAGGTACTTGTTTTACTTTATTTTTTATTTTTCATTTTTTATTTTTATTTCAGTCGTCCCAGACGAACGCCTAAAATTCTAGAATGTTCCATGGAAGGAATACCTAAAATTTTAGAATCCGGAACATTCTAAAATTTCAGGTGTTTCCCCCCTAAACGCCTGGAATTTTAGAATGTTCTAACCATGATTCTAAAATTTCAGGTGTTTTCTTCTATGATTACAAAATAAAATAAAAAAAAACAATGCACTCACCGACTCCATATGCTCCGGCGACCTCTCCAGTGGCGTTGCTTCCTTAAACTCGTCTATTCACCATTTGCGCTAATTGGTGAAGAGTAAAACAATTTTTTTTTTAAAAAAAATATGACGGGCTGTTCGTAGGTGATAGTTGTTTGGTGGGTGGTGGGGTAACAAGTTAGAGAGTGGTTAAAGAAAGTGAAAGTAGAATAGGGTACATTTTATATGGAGACATGTTTGTAAAGTCATGTTAAAATACGGACGTTACGCGGTAAATGTCGGATGTGGTTTAGCAATTCACAACCAGTTTAATTATACCCATGTCACCCATATGGTCATACGGCCATATGTTGTAGTGTTGTACTCCAGCCATAAATATGGAGTGACTCATTTTAGGGACTTTATATATCTATTGTTAGATTTTTATGAATCCATGCCACCACATCCACTTCAAATTTGAATGTAGTTTTTTTTTTTTTTTTTTTCAGAATTGATCTGACTATCTGAGAGCATGGATTATAATCTTTAGTTTTGAAAATTTTTCAAGAAAAGAAGACAAGGTCATTCTCAAGAACGAACCCCACGAGACATCGTGAGGCTATTTGAGTGATTGGAAGCTTGAAATCATCCATTTTATCTCTTAATTTAACAATTAATTTAGCTGATTATGTACACATTTTCTTTCATTAACTCAAGACCACCATATATCATATACCTTATACCAAATTATATGATTATTTGTCATATATGTTTCCAAACAAAATTATATAATCTTTACATGCATCCCTTATATCATTTGAATTAAGGGACTTCCCAAGGTTGTTTCCAAAACCATCTAATTTATACCGTGCCTCACCATGCGTAGTACATTAATCGATTTGTCAGATCAGCACTAAGTTGTTATTTTTTTTTTGTTTTTCTTTTTTAGAGAGGTAATTCTTCAAAAGGAAAAAGAGACAAGATTTTGATGTGAATGTAAAAGCTACATCCTCTTACTTGATAAGATCAACAATTTATCTCAAAACAATCGGTTCAACCTAAATCAAATTAACCAATATCATAATGAACAGTGTCCTAGCTAGTTTATGAATATGCGTCAGGCTGCAAATCAAACAAACAATCAGCTAAGTACTTTTGTACTTAACTAATTTTTATGTTAAGCATAAATTGAGGGGCATGAGAAAACTTCATACAAATTTCTCAATCTTTTATCATATATTGTGGATAAGGAGAAGGGGACCCGCATAAGGCCGAAAAGAAAAATATTCCTAGTACACAATAATTTGAGACGGATAGCAAATTAGCAATACCAACACTCCACCACCTCAATCGACCTCATTTTGTTATTTTGTACACAGTCGTAATAAACCGTTTCTTAAAATGACACGAACAATAAACATAGGCGTAAATAAAGTACTATGGATTAAATAAGTCCCTTAATTGGTGGCTTTGGTGCATGCTTATAACCCACTGGGCACTAGCATGCGTGAAGCTAGCTGTTTGAACATCCAACACACCCATGCCATTGCAAAGCTAATTAAGCTATTTCGATATAATTAACCATTAACCGTAATTAGAGGTTAAAATTAGTAACAGTAAGAAAATTAGCGGGATAAAAAGGTTATAATTAGCATAATAACAGTCACATGGAAATGTTTCATAGTATGAAGAATGATGTTATCTTGCTACACAAAACATCTTTATTTTGTCTCTTTATATTAAAAAAATTTCATGCCCTAATTACTCAAAAATAAAACTACCCATGTGCATGTCCCCTTCGTTTGATTGTCATGCGTATAAAACACCCTTTGACATAAATAATTAACTCCAAATATTAATATAAATTAAATAATATTACCTTAAAATAATTAAAAAAAGAAAAAGAAAAATAGTAGCTTAAAAAAGTAATTAGAAGGGTCCATGACAAAAGACTTTATGCTAATTTTAGGAACTACTTTAGGGGCGCAAACTTCTTGGATTCCACGTACTAATCATGTCTTGAAGAAGAGCATGCTGGATTTTAAGAGCATGCATAATAAGTATGTTACAACTCCCCTATTTTTGTTTCTTTTCACTATTATAAGATCATATATATTTTATGTTATTCTTTATATAGATAAGTTGTCTTCTTTTCTCCACCATATCCATCTAAACCTAGTTCACACTCTTCTTCCTAGCTTACTCTTTAACTCTTTCTCTCTTCCATTCAATTCCTAGCTTGCAAATGTATGTAGGAGTTTGCATGCACAAGAGTGATATATGCATGGTGTCTTCTCGATCGATATCGAATGCTCTTACAATGAGCTTACTTCCTCGGGTTTGTGTGTCTAAGTGTATGTATAATCGCGGTGGTGTGGAAATAGTTACAAATCCGTCATATCCAAATTGTTCCCTATTAGTCCTCAATAGTTTTCAATTTATATACTCCTTTATACAATTCTCAAATACCCTTGTGATATGTTTAGTAAACATATCAATCAAAGTCATTAAATTTGAATTTTCATTAGCCTTGTAATTAATCATACTACTGTTGTAGGGTTTTAGTACATACAGTTACATAGTGGTACAATTGGGCGGCTTGCTTCATGCTCTAAAAATTCCTGGTATTGCTTGCTTTGCTATGAAGCTGCATGCACGTCTTACTTCAATTTCTATGTTTATTGCATGTTGTGGATTTTCGAGTCTTTTAATATGGAGTCTTTTTTCTTATAAAATGAAGTTAATTTGACTACTCGTAATATATATATATATATATATATATATATATATATATATTTTATAAAAATAAAATTTCTAAACATATTTTGTATGTAAGTTAAATTAATTATTATTATTATTATTATTTTTTTTTTTGAAAGGAAACTAGTTATTTTGATGGCTATTTTTTTTACCCACCTTTGAAGTTAGGGAGAATTTTTGTAATGTAATTACTACAACTTGAAATGCAAATTTAAAAAATCTGTGTCGCAATCCTTTTCTTCCAAAGTAAATCCTCTATTTGAGAGGGCGTTAGATAAGAGAATTAAAAGTGGAAATATTAGAGTAAAACTAACATTAATTACACCGAACGACGCGTGATTTTGTCATGCATTTACTTAATACTATTTTAACCAATATAATTATTTCGTATTTAACGCCCCGGGACGCTCGTTAGCAAGATCCAATTAATTAAGTGCATTTTCAAAACTATGTTTTCTTACTATTTGTATGTTCACAAATTAAATACTTTCAATCTATTGCTACTTTGACCATTTTTTTAAGATGTTATACAAAATTATCTACTACAAGTATTTTTGTGGTAAAAAAAAAAAAAAAACTATTTTTGCTTGAACACATCTTTAGCCACATCATTTCAAAACGAATTTCTTTAGTTAAAAAGAAAAAGTCGTATAGGATATCTGTACTTAATGTGAGGATTTTTATTCAAACATGGCTTAATTACAAAGTATTGTATGCTTCTTAATTGAGACAAATTGATTGCTTTGTTAAAAGGTTTACTCTACTTTAAGCTTCGCTTTCCTAGAAATCATCAAAATCGACCAACTGTATGCAAAATCAAGGCTAAAGACACAAATTCTGGTTTTCTTTGTTCATCTTTTACTGCTTGTTTACGACGAATCTTCTCTGATCTTCTTCACATAAAGTTTCATACACAAGCTCGACAAATAGCATGAATTTGAGTTTTTCTAGAAGTGGCCATTTTCTTTGATTAAGAAAATTCTTTATGAATCATTGTCATTTTAGATGTGTAAGTGTAACAGCCTAGGTACATCATCAACATTTATAGTTTCTGAAAATTGAAGAAGAACCTAAAAGAATATGTCAATATATATAAAAACACACAAGAATGACTACTTGTGGATAAAACATTAATTTTCATAAAGTTTATACAATATCATTAAAATTCATATTAAAAATAATCACAAGGTATACACATACATTTTGAGACTTGTTTGATCAGTAAACATCGCGCATAACGGATGCATATAGTATTTCATATAGTCCTCCATATCATGTGTGGATGGGAAAAGCTAGCCATAGAAGCTCAGCCCAAAACTCGTATTTCGATTAGTTTTGTTATGTACAAACTGAGCCCTAATCTTCCTGTCCCTTTATACTTCACTCTGACCTTCTATAACCTGTACTCATGTACTTCATGATTTCCACACGTCGATTTGACTGCTTGAGGTTGGTGTAGAGGTCTTATCCGTTAATGAATCTTCCTTATTCGAGTGATCAGATATTGGAGCAGTAGGGAATATCCCTGATGCAACATTACTCGACGAATAATTGTTGATGTTGTTGTTATTATTATCATGTCCCTTGGCAACATCTTCGTGGCTAAGTTGTGATGCAACAAACTTGTCTAGGACCCTCCAATCGGTCACTTGATCCAAAACATCTTGACCATTATTGTTGTTGTTGTTGTTGCCTATCAATATTGTTGCATTATGGTTGTTGTCAATTTGTTGCATAGTAGCATTGTTGGAGTGAAGGCTCATGTCTATACCATAAGGGGCTAGGCCGGTATTATTGTAGTTACCGGTACCATGAGGTGAAGCTAGAAGCATCTTGGAGTTCTCAAAGAGAGGGAGGTGAATAAGATGCTCTTGAGGAATTTGGAAAGGTAAATGATGATGTTGATGATGATGATGATTGAGTTCCTTTTTGCAAGTGTGTGAGGCATAGTTGAGCGCGTTGTTTGATTGTGGTGCTTGTTGAGGTGAATCCATGTCTGACATAAACGAGACTTGATCTTCGTACCAACATGGTGATTCATGCCCGCCCATTCTTCTCATTGTTGTGGGAGTTCTCTTTTTGAACACTCTACACACGGCCCAACCTTCTTCCTGTGAACAAAACACAAACATGATCTATATATTAGTGTGTGATTATTACCCCAACCTCAACAGCAATCACTATATATATTGTGTTAGTATATACGAAGTATCTCCTATATCTATGTAGAAACTATCAACATGAACCATTCATATATATATATATACTTGATAACTTGTACTAATCTAACGGAATGCACCTTGTTACTCCTCCCCTCGAAACAAAAGGTAACATATGCTACCTAGTCTATTTTAATTATTCAGTACTATCACAAGAAATAAAAAATAGGGCTAATGTCAAAAGATTTTAAACCAATCTCAATGGTAGAACCCTAAACTACATACACTAATTGGAGTTAGCTGACATCCATAATCGATTCTTTTTACATATGTAACATAAGAACTACCTTTGGACAGTACATGAAACAAGTATGAGATTTCGAGTGCTAGTCTTCATCATTTCCAACAAATATGATGTAATCACTTCCATTTACCGGCTACTATACCTTACATTTCATGGACATACAAATATATAAGGGCATGGAATGAATTATATGATTTGTCTAAGGTTGCTCGCTGGTGTAAATTTACTAAAATCAATTATACTCCGATAAGACTACTCTAGCATAATTTTACTTTGCGTGAAAACTATATCAAATTTGTTGATCCACATTGATTAACAAAGTAATACCACTCATAAAATATCAAAGACCCTAATCTCAACCAAAAAGGAACTAACCTGAGGGGCTCCATTTTCATCAGTTTCAAGTCGATACTCATGCATGATCCAATCTGACTTTTGTCCATTCGGAGCTCGGCCTTTATAGAACACCAAGGTCTTCCTCATGCCTATCAAGTCATGCTTACAATATATAGCCTTATCTCTTCCAGTTGCCTTCCAAAACCCTGCTGCAGTTGCTCGGTTTGTTCGGGTTCCAGTTGGATATTTCTTATCCTTGTGACTGAAGAAGTACCATTCATTTTGATCATCATCTCCCGTTTTGCATAATTCTGTCCCACATTACACAATTAATATGATAGATAATAGTGTAAGGAATTTAATCAAAATATAAAACCCTCATACACAATACCTTGTAAATCCCAAGGCTCGATTTTATATAGATCAATCTCTTTGATGATATCTACTTCAATCCTTCTTGAACAAACCTTTCTTCTAAGATAGTAATCCACAAGCTCTTCCTCAGTTGGATGGAAGCGAAATCCAGGGGGAACTTGTGTTGATGTATTCATATCTTCTTCGTCTTTAACAATATAAATTTTCAACTGATGATTCAAATTGCATAGATAATGTGAGTAGATAAACAACACAGCATACACTGATTTAGTTTCAACTAAAAGGACTCTATTCACATACATTTATCAAAATGCATCGAATGCAAACACTAAAAAGGACTCAATCCAATGACTAATTAAGTTAATGTAGACTATGTAGAACATATTAATAATGTTTAGGGCTTTTCTACGCATTTGTTATATTCAAAGATCAAATTAGCTTTCGATAATTAGAACACGTATGGTATTCGAAGTAGCCTCGGATAGTTAACATGATAATAATATAAGCATCAAGCAATACAAAATTTGAATAGACAAGTAACACAAGGATCCTTACAAGAGTAGCCAAGTAGACAGGCAGGTAAATGTAATAATAATACTCTCATACCTAGCAATCATGAACCTCACTTTGCTCTATAACAAAGGGATGATGGCGTATGAAAGTTATTACTCTTATGAGTAGTAAAATTAAATCCTTTTTATTTATTTTTTTATTTTTTATATTATTACTTGATGTATCAAGGTATGTTATTATGTTACAATGTGAGATTAATAATTTCGAAGGTTTAATTAAGATAATGACACCACTACAAACATTAATAAGTTCACTGCCTTTTTTATAACAATAATAATTCTTTTTTGCCCGTTTTTACCCCATTTGAAATTAAAACCCTACTTAAACTCGATATCATATATGATGAAGCTTGCTATGATAAAGTGGTAATCATAAACCTAGCTACAATGTTTAAAATTAGAAATCATAAAAACCTATGTATATTTTCGATCGATCTAAACTAAGTCGGTCATGAATACAAAAAATTGTATAGGAAAATATTTTTCAATCAATAACAATAGATATATAGTACAAATAGTACTCTATATATCATCATAAATTGTATTAGCTTTTATCAAATTAAAAAAATAAACACAATAATAAATCCCTATCAACCTTGAGCCATAGGTTATTATAAACCTAGACCTCACTTGATCCAAAAATAGTACAAAACTTGAAACCAAGGAAAATTATAGACCTAAGATCATTGAGTAGCAATCAAAAGAATAATAGATTACAAACCTTATTAGTTGAAGCTACTCGAAGTCTTTAATTAGTACAAATAAATTACTCTTCCATTCGTTATATCTGTACTTAATTTAGCGAACATATTGATAGTGTAATTTAAACTTTTCTTTGTTATAGCTCAATCCCGACAAATAGTAGTAACGAATATGAAGATCAATTATAAGGAGTTGAAACCCTAGCAAGTAGCAACATACAAATCTAAAAACACTATGCACCAAAAGATTGAAGGAGAGAGAGAAGTTACCTAATAAAGTAGGCTTAGGTTGAATCCAGAAATCCACAGATTTGAATGAAGTGAAAGAAATGTTGCACTACTTGCTGAAATCAAAGCTAGAAAGAAAGAAAAAAAAAAGATGACTTTTTAAATTTTAACAAACAAAAAGGAGGGATGTTTTATCCCAACCAAAGCTTGCAGATGAAGACCCCAAAAAGTAGAGGCAAAAAGAAGAGTACAAGGGACAAAGGAGAAGGAACATTCTCCTCCTTGGTAATTGTGCCCAACAGATGTTTGTCAAAATGCCTCAACCAACAACCAAAAAAAACACCCCTTTTTATTTTTCACTCTTTTTTCACGAAAGTAGTTAAGCAACAAACTGAGAAGAAGGTTGTTATTGGGATAATGTCGGTCCAGATCCCGATAAAAACAAGATAAATGAATGACTGAATGAATGAATGGAGGAAGGAAAAAGGGCAGAAGTTAAATGAAGGAGATATAACAAGTAAGGGCTATCGTTGTCGAAACGAAGCTAGATTGGTGGGGAAGGATGGGGATGGAGTCTAAAGGATTATGGGTGAGAAAAACATGGCGGAAACCAATGTAGGAGAGAGAAAGAGAGTAAAAGATCGACTTTTAAAAATAATGAATAAAAAGAGAGTATAGGAATCGTTAGCTCAAAGACTAGATAATGGTGTACCAGCCATTGATGTGGACTTGAAGAATAAGGAATGTTGTTGTTGTTAAGTTTATTTGGCTTTTCTTTCTTCCTTTCTTCTATGCTCTAAGCTTGCTACTGTCAAACTGATTGAGAAAGAAAGAAAGAAAGAAATGGAAAACGGGGATGAGTTTGGAGGTAACGGAACGGACCAATCACACTACTTAAATCAAAGAAAGCTCTTCCTCACTCTCCTATTTTTTAATAAAAAATATAAAGAAAGATAGGAGATGATGTAAAAAAAGAAGTCAGCTATGCCTTTTTCTGATTTTCCCCTTTGATGGTAAGTTTTACCTAGAATTACTTTTTAAATATCCTTTTGCGCTTTAATAACTGGATTAGGTCGTGGATAGCACATCAAATACTTTCACCAACTAAGATAATTCGTAACTGATATTGAATTGAAGTATTCACTTTGCTCTTAAAGCCAAAAGCATTGATTTTCTCTTCTAGATGCAAGAGCTTAAGATTAATAACTATTAAGGTGCTTTTTCTCTTGTGTTGATAGAAAGTCGGGTTTTAGTTAAATACATTACTACCTCTATTATGTATTACGTGCAACTTTTGAATATTTTATATCTCACAAATAATACACAAAAGTTGCACATTATATGTAACGAAGGGTATTTTTTAGTTAAATACATTACTACCTCTGTTATAAAAATGTTTATATAAACTAGGGTGCAAGATGCATTTAAGGGTATTTTTTGTTTATGTTCTATTTACCATTAACAAGATTTCATTCAAGTGGAAAGTCTCATAAAAGATTGGGTACATCTTACACTCGGGTGGGTAACTAGATAAGCTACTGTATTTCCCACCGTTATCACATGATTACAAGAGAATTGATCAAAACACAACCTACCACTAGTATTGAAAATGATCAGACATCAGTGAATGAAATCAGTGCAGTAGTTTCATGATGGTTTTGATTGATCACTCTCACAGCCGTCAAAACTTCCCATTCAAGGCCAAGAAAACCTTTGAGAAGCCAGTTTTATGTACTAGCCAACGTAACCTAGCCCATACCTTGCCTTATCTCTACATTTCTGGGTGTAATTCACTCTTCACAACCACTATCGAAGCAAGACAAATTTAAACTTTACTTTATAAATTAGTTGTTCCACTTGAATTTAACAAGTTTGTCAATGCACAACTTTAATTAACCCTTTACATGAATAATGTACTGATCTCAACTATAAATATGTTGATGTTACGTTAGCTCCTCCCATTAATTGGAATTTGTGACGTAATAAGATCTTTTCATGTGTTAAATAGTACATAAAATAGTGTTAATTATGAAAGACTGAACGTGTGAAGGTGGCCCCTAAAAGCTCAAGCTATTGATCTTGATGACCCTACTATTGATATTTCTTCCCATCTCCAAGTCTTAACTTCAATAATGTCAAATAAGTGTCAACCTCTAATAAAAATGATGTTCAAAATTTCACATTTCATGGCATATGGGCCCATACATTCTCATTTTCAGTTTTCATCTTTCTTCATGCCTCTAACAAGACTGTCCCTAGTTATCTACTCGATCTTATTAATTACACCTTTTTCCTTCTTTTTAATTTTGTCTTTACCTTCATAATTGCTCATTAATTCTACTCTTAACACTTTGTTTCCTTCCAAATTATTACTCCCAACAATCGATTAATCATCGGTTTTACCTTTCATTAAATTTTTACTATAAGTCTATAATCACGTACGTAGTTACCCTTTTTAGCACTAACAATACGTCAGCACATACAAACTAATGATACTTGATGTAATCAGTAGTGGTTTCACCTTAATTGTGACGACCTTAATGTTAAGGGTTTTTTTATTCTTACCAGAGTACTTAAAAATGTACCTTTGTAAAAATACTTGTATTTAAGTCTTTCTTCAATTAATTTTTCTTAACTTATCTTGATTGAAATTTATTTATATTAGGTTTTTAATTTTTGTAATAGTATTATCTTTATGTACATCCGTATCATTTGTTGAGTTCCTTTCCTTTTCTTTTAGTTTAGGTAATCTTATTTTACCAAATAACGCTTGACTCACTTTTAGGTAGATCCAAGAGATCATCTGCCTCCGATCTCTACTCCAAAGTATCTACATAAACCTAATTTTTACTGACCAAAAAATGTCATCGATGATATTTAGTAGTACTAATAAAGCCATAGAAGTACTTTATATTCTTGATTCTATATATATATATATATATATATATATATATATATATATATATATATATATATATATATTATATACACCTTAAATTAAAATATAATAAATAGGGTTGTCATGATAATCATAAAAAAAAAGGAAGGTTTGAGGTTTGGTACCAACCTTAGAAAGGGTTTGGAATTACTATAGTATAGTATATAGTATAGAAATAATTAAGAAAATAGGGGAAATAATGATATGATAAAAAAAATGGAGGTAGCTAAAACAAATGGGGAGCTCGTCACATATACGCCACCTCCCTTAACCACTACCGACCGTCATCATTATACAGGAAACAGGATTGTCATCCCACTACTACTTCTACTTCTACTTCTTCTCTATTTTTCTTTTTTATTAAAACAATTAAATTAGGTCATTCTAAACATTGACGAATACGGAGTTCCGTTCCGTTTCAAAAGGGATGACGCCGTTCCGTTCCGTTACGACGTCATAGCAGCTGGCAAAAGGTAATTGGACATTGGCGTAGAAGGAAAGGGGACCCGCTTACTGACCCCACAACTACTAACCCCTCTTCGCTTCGCCCCCCTTGGCGTGGCCTTTAAATTAGGCCCCCTTCTATCATTACTTCTTTTTTCCACTTGCCCCTTATTTATTCTTTTTTTAATCCTTTTTTTTTTTATCTTTTAAAAACCTTAAATTACAAAGTTTTATATGTGACTGATCACACTGTGTGGTCGGGATTACTTGTTCAGGATTTACTTGATCGGTCAGGGATTATTCGATCAGTCGGCCACATAAAGTGGCCAGGCACACGAAAAAAGTGATGAAAAAAAAAATACTTGGTGATAATTGATTTATTACCTTCCTTTTTTTTATGTGGGGTGAAAAATTCATTCACTGTTTTCTAAATCTATACTTTGATTTTCTACGGGAATGAGATGAGATGATTCCGGGTAGCAAATAAGCCTTTTAAGATTATTTGGCTACCCCGTCAAGCACCTCAATGTCTAACCTTGATAGGTCCAAAAATGTTATTTAAAGGCTAAATTTATAGATTTCGTGTCAAAAACTCAGGTGATGATGATATGAAATGCTAAGGTCTTATTATGTTGTTTGGAACTAAATATGGTCACTAGTTGGTCATACAAAGGCTTTTGATAGCTTTAAGTTTAATAAAGGGAATTGTGTAGGTATTTAACCATATATATCTTGACAGTTTAAAGGCAAAGTGAATGTTTCCAACTATTCAAATAGTCTTTTCAGAATTTTATGGGGTTTATATAAACATCTCGTTCTATAACATTTCTAGGTTTGGAGAAGTTGATAATTGTTCAAATATGAACGTTACAATCCACGTTTTTTGGATCGAATGTGAATTTATTGTCTAAAATTAATATATTGTCTAAAATTAAAGTGAGTGTGGAGGATGTCCTTGAAATCATAAAAGTTGAAGTGAGACCGTGAAAAGGCCCATTTAAAATTCTGAAAATAAGCTTGGTCACTTTTTTTGAAATTAATACGGAGTAGATGTCAAATAAGATGGTAAAGGTGGCACGCTAATTCGAGACTCAAACGTTGTTTGTATCACTAATTATTATTATTAGTATTATCTTTTTTAAAAAAAGCGTTTGTTAGCCGGTACATAAGGCCTTTATTATTCCGATGATCCAAATGGCTATATGGCTTAGTTACAAAACATATATATGGCCAATAGTCATTTACATAAAGACCTTGGTGAACTTTAGTTAATGAATGGAGGCATATAAATAGCAAGTTATATATAAGTAGATAGATTAAAGATAAAATGGCCTGGATAGTTCCAACTAATCAAATGATCTTATGGGAATTATAGGATCTCATGGCTATAGGAAGCATTTCGTTCTCTTTTCCTTTTAAGCTTGAAATAGTCAAAATTTGTCCAAAAATAAAGGTTATATAATCCATGTCTTATGATGAATTTTAGCAAATCTTTTTAAAATTAAACCGAGAGACGGGTTGTCTCTTAGGGTCATAAAAGTTAGATTGTGATCATAATATGCCTATCAATAGATTTATAAAGTCATGAGATTAATTATATGGTATGACTATTTGAAGTTTATACGAAATAGATTTCAATGAACAATTTAACATAGGTGATACACTATTCAAGAATTAAATCAAATTTCGTTTATATCATTAATTTACGACTCTTTATACTCCCTCCGTCCTACATTATATGTCTTGTTTTTCTATTTTGGAGACCCAAAATATTGTTCCTATTTTCATTTTTGGATAGTATGTAAAAACCATTATACCCTCATTTTTTTTTTAACTTTATTCATTGTATTTTCTAAATTATCCTTGAATTTTCCACTTGCGTTGTACTTTTTTCCATTTTCTCTCTCTAACTTTTTGTCTATAATTATACTTTTCACTTTTTTTAATGTATTTCATCCAATTTCTCTTCCCATTTCTTAAATATCGTGATAAAACACAAATAGAAATTACAAACCGGGACGGAGGCAATAGCACATAAAAAATTGTTTTTTCCTTGATTAAGCACGCTAGTTTGTGAACACGTGATATCCTTGTGAAAACTAAGTGTTGGGGGTGAATGGGTGTAAAAGGGGCTGGATATTATTATTGGGCCATTTGGTTGGTTGGCGGGCACACGTAAGCAAAAATCCAGTTAAAATGGACTTGGGTTATTAGTGACAACAATTATTATGTCTTTAATATTTTGTAAAGTTTGGCATTTTTCAGAAGATGGAAAATCCCAGATTCCTTCTATCTACGGTTAAATCATGACATTAGGTGATAAGTATGATCATGTGATGGTTTTTATCATCTCTTCTAAATAATGCTGCTAATCATGACTATAATAATGTTACCCTCTTTCTATATTTCTTCCTCTCCTCATACCTTAACATATGAGAGGGATGGGGAGCTTTATTTATGCTAGAAATTGCATATAAATACGAAAATATTTGAGTGATGCTCGAACTAAATATAAGATAATAAGGTCATAAAAACTAACGCGATTTGCATATATTGATTAAATTTTATTTGGTGAAAAATCAATTGAATTATGAAATAGCCAAGGGAAATTAGATAAAATTTGAATTGAATAACCCTTTGATCAAATTTGACCTAGATCGATATATAATACAAGCTACTAATACGAAATTTAAGTTATTCCTCCAAAACTCGTGTGTCATTATCTAACATACACAAAAAATTACTAGCCTTGTAAACTTTTATGTGATTTTGGTAATTATAATTCATGATAGGTGGGACCTATGGTGTTATTTGCTTACTTGAGTGTTGCATTTCCGACATAGAGTGGTTAATTTTGATTCAACTCTGTTTTTTTTTTTTTTTTTTCAAAACTTAATTAAAAGGTAAAATTATCATCCAACAAAACACACCCAAAAAATGTTAAAGTATATGATCAATTTATTGGAATGTATAATAATCAAATATGGATCGAGTAAATAATGTTCAAAACTAATTACACAAACAAATAATAAATATAAAACATAAAAGCATAATTTAAATTCCAGAAGTAAAAGGAACACTAGCAGCTGGTATCCAAGATTCACCTCCAATAAAATTTGCCACAAAAAACTGAGAAATTTGATCAACATTTGTAATAATCTTGTAACCTTTCCATTTGACTCTTTTACCTGTTAAAGATCCAGGCCCAAAATTGTTGTACTCAGCGTAGAACAACGTATCAAGTGCAAAATTACCATCCCATTCTAGCCAACCAACAGGACTAATAAGGCTATCGATAAAGCTCTCCACGACGACGGTACGCGAATATTGTTCCCATGGTCGTCCTAGGAATGATGGGAATGATGCAATGACTGGTTTAAGGTCAGGTGATGCCGTGATGCGCGAATTTTGTATGATAATGCCTGTGTTTTGGTTAGGATCAGTTCTTCCTTGGGCTGTCACGGTATTTTTTTGTGAGGTTAGAGGTTTTCTAACGATTATGTTACATTTTTGGAATATTGAGGCCGCGTTACCAAATATAAAGTCTATTGTACCGTAAATGTTACATTCTCTATAGAATTGTCTTTGTGAGTGCGCAAAGAGCGTGTCTTGATATCCTTCAAAACTACATTGGTGGAAGATTGAGTGGTCGGAGCCTACTCGGAGTGCCACTGCTTGGTTGTTCTCAGGCCCGGCGGTGTTACGGAATGTTATTCCACGAGCTATGAATCCGTCTCCCGTCACAGCTGATAATTATGATTAAGTAACATTTGTTAAAAGAAATTCAAGTGTATACGGAATATTATAAAGTAGTTTTACATGGTAAAGGCTAAAGGATATTAGTACAAAATTGAAGTTACTACGGTAATAAAGGTTTGGAGGCGAAGTCAAACTTAATTGTTAAGAGGAATTGACGATCATTATAAGTGGATTAATGGGGCCAGACTAATAGAAATCTAAATAATTTAAATTGTTAGATTTTTATTAAGGCTATTGGGCCTTGTGGGGAGGGGAACAAGCTAAGGTATGCTTTGGCCCAAGCCTCCCTAGTGATTAGTTTTTATGAGGGGAAAGAGTACAATAACATAACTAGTCTAACACCACATAATGGCCAAACTTAACGTATACGAATTTTATTTTGATCTTTGACATATACAAAAATGAAATAAAGTACTGTAATCTTCGACAATTTTTTTGTAATAAGGTGAACAAATGTAGACTTCCACTGTTTTAAATTAGTTGACACATTTTGACTTTTGACATTATATACAAATTCTGCTTTTGACTAACATTAGCTTTATGGACTATAAATAAGAATAAGTGGAGTTACGTGTGATCTTGTCCGATTAATTTTAAAATATCAGCTTTGTATAATTTTTGCTTAATGAAAGTAAAGCATGGAGGATCATCGATCGATTTCTTACCAACAGTTGCTGAGTTGAAAATCGTGAAGCCATCTCCATAACTTCTATCACCGGTAATAATCGTACTTTGCATGCCATCACCTACTAGCATAATATTTCTCAAATTGGTACCAATCACTAGGTATTCCGCATACACACCACTCTTAATATGGATCACAAACCTCCCACTCCTACTCTTCTTTGCCGCGGCATCAAGGGCCTCACGAATAGTCTTGAAATCTCCCAACCCATCTTGAGCCACCACTAGGTTAGCCGTGGCTAACTTAGAAGCTTGCAATAGGTTCCTATCGCGTCTAGTGACCCATGTAGGGAATCCTAGCTTATATGATTGTGTTTCAGGGACGGCGTTATTGTGCATGGCTAAGCTATTGCTAATCAACTTAGTAACATTGTTGGAGATATATGGTTTAAACCCGGCTATACACGTCTCAAGGTTAGTCAAAGCAGTGCTAAGCCAAGTTTGTTTATCAAACTCATAGCAATCCTTTTTGGTAGGGTTTAGGGTTCTATTAAGCTCAAAGATGGTGCTATCAAAAAGGGTCATGCAATCGGCCCATGCACCCTTTTCACGTACATCTTTACACATTGATCCGAGCCCTTTGGTGTGGTTGTGTGCTAGAAGGGTGTGATCCAACGCTATTTGGATCACCATTTTCTGGAATTCGACTTTGTCTTTGGGTTCGAGGTGGCTCATAAAATGTAGGCATGGTTCAGGGTGTAGGGTTTGGTTGCACCACCAATGTATGCCATTATGGGCAAGGGTTGGTGATGATAACAAGAAAGAAGATGCTATCAAAAGAAAACTCACTACAAGATTTATGGCCATTTCTCTTAAAACTTTACTAATGGTTGATCATTGGTGTTTAATTAAGATAACAAAGATAATTAATAAGAATTACATAATGTTGATATATATAATAAGGTGATAATATAAGTTTTGAATTTTATGCATGCTTGTAGTGAGTTATTACGTTACGTGAAGATATTAGTATTTTTCATGGACTATATAATCACCCATGCACATCAAAATTATCTAATTAGGAGACTTGTATGAATGTACAAGAAGTACTAAATAATTAATTCGTCCCATTAACTTTCTGTTGCGGTGTTGCCCTACGCTCCATGCGTATGCTTACTTACTTAAAGAAATTATTTTGCCATTTATTAAAAACTATAGCTTATCGATGCAATGATCATTATTTGTTCTATTGGTTATTGGTCCGTAAGTCCAATTATGAAAAGTGATATTAGTCCTTTCTATCTAAATAACTAGCTAATTAAGCCACGTTTTGTTGAGTTACCATTTTAATTAAGATTTTTTTATTTTTTTATTTTTTTTGGAATAGTTTTAATTAAGAGATTAAGTTCAATATCATATGTAAATATCTGAATGTTGTCCATAAAGTTATTAAATGGTATACATCATTAAAGTAATTTCCCCGAGTTTTACTTAATCCATGCATCACCCAAAAAACAAGGGTTGAAGAACTCAAAAGAGTTACCACCGATGTGAGTATTATGACTTTATGAGGGTATGGTCTCTTTACCCGTTTAGGCATAATTTAATTAAAGGCTGGTCTGGTGTTTGAAACTATCTTATACAATTTGGCTTGATATGATTTGATGTTGTCTTTAACTTATCTTTAATAGTAATTTTACACTTATGTTAAAGATTAAAAAATATCAGATCAACTAAGTTTTTGTTTAATTCATCTCATAGATGTGTATTATCCTATTATAGAATTTTCATAACTTTTACTGATATGCAATTCTAATAAGTAAGCAACATTAATAAATTTGTAATTTGATTGATGTGGTCTAATGGTCTTGGATACAAACCTAGTCTAATTTTGATTGGAATGCGTTTAAGATGAAGAGGAATGAGTCAAAACTTTTGTGAGGTGAGAGATAGAGGGTAATTACCACAAGTCCACAATATTAGGTAGAAGATGATATTAGAAAAAATATTGTTATCATAAAGGGAATAATATAGTAAATCGCAAGTAATGAGTATAGCACTAAAAAAAAAAAAAAAAAAAGAAAAAAGGTGCATGTGTGTGTATAAATCATAAGAAAATGGAAGTCGTACGAAATAAATTAAAATTCGATTTATTTAATTAGATTAGTACATCAACTGATTTATTTTTCAAAGTAAAATACAAATAAATAAGAAAAGGAAGAAACAAAATTGATATATACTTAGTACTTTGTATTGGTTACTTGGTTAGTGATCGAATGAGGATTAATTAAGAAAGCAATAATTATACATAATGGAAAAAAAAGTGGACACGTAATTTAAAACAATCTTAGCTTTATACTTCGTATCTCTCTTCTTATCTCGATTTTTGAACTTAATCAATTAGCTCACGTGTGTGATTAAATTGTGAATATGCATGATGCATGGAAATTTTTGTTTGCTCAACCAATTAACATACTAATTTCAGTAATTTGGCACAATTTTCTTTGTTTAAGTTCTCAACCATTTACCATCATCATCATCAATTCAACATCTTCATCATTGGATTATCCTATCTTTCTCCACTGTTGCATAAGCCCAATCTTATAGAGTTCATAACCAATGCAAATGAGATGTGGCCCAAATTAGTAGGTGATGTCCACACTATATTGTCATTTGTGAATAATAATACTAATAAAGAGAACATGATGATCGGGTTCCTTCGTAGTCACTTAACGGCCTAAAGAGTAAAGAGAAAACATGTACTCCCTCCATTAATTTTTATTTGCAATTTTGGAGGGTTTTGCGGTTTACGGGGCAAAATTTAAGGGGCAAACATTAGTGGGAGTAAATGAAAGTGATTAAAGTGTTTGGAGAGAGAAAGTTGGTCCACCCACTAGCAAATGAAAGTGATTAAAGTGTTTGGAGAGAGAAAGTTGGCCACCCACTAGTAAAATTATTAAAATCAGAATTTTTAATTAAGGGTAAATTTGTAATTTTCAGGGTTTTTGTGTACTAAAAATAGAAATAAAATAGAAAGTTGCACATAATGGTTAGCGGACTAAAATGGCAAAAGTTGTAAAATAAAAATTAACGGAGGGAGTATAAATGTTCAAATAGTATGGGGTGAATTGGGTGAATCTGTTTCACCGAGAGTCCACCCATCCAAAAGCTAATACTATATACGTTCAATAACTTGTATTAACTTTTCAATAACTTACCTGAAATGTTCAAAGACTTGTATCTACATTTTAAAAGTCGAGATGTTTAAAATTTTATATGAAATGTCTAATACGGAGTAAATTATATTCATCTCATCATGAGTTCGGATTCATAGAATACCATTGAAGTATATCCTAGCTACCAAATAACACATGTAAGCGTCCTAAATTATTGATAAAAAGTTAAAAGAGCCAAACACTTTATAAGTGTAAGGGGCTAAACCTCCTAAGCTATTGTCATATGATTTTGGAATGAAACCTCTTTTGGACTTGTGAAATGGACTCTATCTCTCTTGATTTGCGGATGCGGCCCAGACCCGTATTTAACAAATACATTCTCATTATTGTTCCTAAGGCAATAGTTGGGGGTCGAATTGAGATAAACATGAAGAAGGTAATAGATAAGATACGTATTACAATATCTTGCAAGTTGATAATGAAAGTGCTAGTCTAGAATAGGAGATTGAACAAAAGTATGCTTTCACAAATCACAATAAGAGAGTAACGTATGAGGGGATGAGGAGAACGACAACAAGCTGCATAGTTGTGCTATCGACCATATGTTATGCATAGACGTTGCTGTAGGAGTGTAGGACCATATTCTTAGGTGTTCTTCGTTGGCTCATGCAGGCCAAGCGACAAAGTTAATTATTATTATTCATCCAATATACGCACGCACCCAATAAAAATGCGAATTACAGAACATCTTTTACTGTTTTCTTTTATCTTACCTTATAATTTTTTATTTTTGTAAAGAAACGTTAGACTTGACTCACTCCGTATTAGCTTGTAAAAGAAATATAATAGTTAATACGGAGTATTATAAAGATAATAATGATCATATCTCATCCCAATGTATTACATAGAGAATAATCAGGGGCGTATACAAGATGGGTTCAAATGGGTTCATTAAACCCACAGATTTTCTGGAAAAAAAAACGTTTAAAACATATATTTGTGTTAAAGTAAGTGTCATATAGAAGTGTAGCTCAGTGGTATTTTTAACCTTGCAAACTATTATTGGGTAGCTGGAGATAGGGCTGGCAAACCCTGACCCGACACGAAAATCCGACCCGAACCCGACCCGAAGTTACTGAGAGAGACCCGAACCCGACCTGAACCGAACCCGAACAACCCGAATTCGACCCGATCTGACCCAAATTTCATATTTCGTAATAATATTAAGTTTTACACTATTTTTAATAGTTTCTTAACATAATCCAAAATTGACCCAAAATCTGACCCGAACCCGACCTGCTGACCCGAATTGCCACCCCTAGCTGGAGATCAAGGGTTGAACAGTTAATACCTAAACTTTTACCCTACCATAGTATTCTTTTTTGTGGTGGGACATTAAGATTTTCTCTCTCCTAACCTTAGATTTCCATTTTCTCATTTTCAAACTCATTTGTCTATACTAGGATATGTGTGTAGTTAGAACTTAGAAATTTGTGTATATTGGGAATTTGGAATTAATAGCTAAATTGATATATATAATTGATAATTGAATTGTTGATTGTAGAGTTAGAACTTAGAATGTTAGATTAAGATTTACTATTTAGTACTATAGTTTTGACACGCTTCAAAAGTATAAAAACTCGAAAAACACTTTTATAGTTTTTTTTTTTTTTTTATTCTTTTTTTTTCATTTCTCTAAGTGTAATCCATTTGCAATTTAAAATATGAATTTATGTATTAAATCTTTGATTAGTATATTTTCATTCTTTTTTTTTTTTTTTTTTTTTACAATTTTAAGCCCACACTTCGAAATTTCTGGATACGTCACTGAGAATAATAATATAAATTAATAATTTTTCTAAAAAATTATTTAAAATATAGTTAAAGGATATAAATATGTAATTAGTGCAAAAATCAAATTAGAACTAAAAAATTGAAAAAATATACTTGTAATTTAAAGAAAATACCATTCAAGCACGTAGTTAATTCAAAAAAGAAAAGGGCGAAAACCAATCAAAGTACAATAGTGCCTATAGTGGACAGCAAGCTTAGCAAGCAACCCCGCTTGTCAAATCTCAAATTTGTCATGCAACACGAACATTACAACGTACGTAACGTAGACCCAACTTATAAATAAATGCACATGCTTTGGGCCTTTTACTTTAACTAAATATCTCTAATGTTTCATCCATCCCTATATATGTGAATGTATATGAATGAATTAACCTTTTGTTAGTTCAAAGGGGTTCTTTTCAACTTTTTGTTATATCCTTAACAACAACTTTGGTTCATATAAACTTTGTTCATATACAACTAATTTGTTATTTCATGTTTCATGCATGTCGTACATTAAAGGATGGACTTGTATTATCAGATCACTTATATGTTACCTTAATAAAGTTGATTATTGTTATAAGAAAAAAAAAAGTTGATTATCATTTGTTATAAAATCAATGACAATGCCGCACTAGCTAATGAATAAAAGGGTGAAGGTTTAATTATGCTATTTGAGGCTTAATTATTATCAATATTGAGGTTAGCTACTACTCCGTAATAATTAAATTTGTTTCTTAAAATATATGCTAATGTGACTCCATATATCAAACATTCAAACTTCATACTTCAATGATGAAGGGTATGGTCCAACTATATAATAAATGATCCAATTAAAGGGGGTATTTTGTTGACTTCCATAAATTATTGAAATTGCGAGACTTATATGACAATAATTATGAAACTTATAATATGCTTGAATTCGTAGCATAATAATTTATATAAATGAATTATTCAAGTTGGAGTGTGGGACAGTAATATGGAAGAGATCAGAATTTTACTAAGTAGATTAACAAACTAAACTAATGACAACTAACTGAAGCAACTTGCAAAGTAGGACATTCTTGAATAGTAACGATCCCTCAAATTGTAGACGTCGGCCTCCTTAGTTCATACAAGTATTATGTACACTCCTATGTTGATTGTTTATATGTACACCTTAATAAAATAATGATACGCAATTGTGCAGATTTCATTTAGATTAGTTAAAGGCCATATAGTCTAAGTTGAAGTTCAAGTTTTTTTATGTACAAATATAATTTTGTATGGAGGTATCCACACTCGACATTCGATTTCCAAAAAGTTAGAAATGTTAACAAATCGGAGATGCAGGATGGTACGGGAATTCGACCCCGAGACTACTTACTCCGTGAAGAAGGCAATGTAAACTGCACTACATACAATGTCTACAAGCACACCTTCTACTCTTTTGCAACAACTTGGGTATATATTTTTTCCGTTTTAATAATATTGTAATGATTGGACTTTTGTATTATTCATCACTCTTGTTTGACCATGTAATATAATTTATACGTTAAGGAAAATATATTCATGTGGGATCATGTTAGATTTGTCTCATAAAATACTTTCACAATATCAACTTTTTATAATTTTTACTTTTATACAATTATAGATATTTAACATATAAAATGTGTTTTAAAATGCGTAAATTAATCCTTGTTGCAACATTAATGAAACGGAGAAAATATAATGCATGATATTCTCTAGATTTTAACTTGCAGGGGGACCCGTAAACCAAAAAAAAGCTATTTTCTAATAAGGTAATCGCTTATTACAATACTGAATACTCGTATATTGTATAAGGCTCCATTATGATCCGTCCTCTATTTTTTTCTTCATAAAACACTTAAATTCACACTCAACTACCTCCGTTTTTTATGATTTTTTTTACTTGAGAAAAATGTATTCATGTGAAATGAATGAATGATACATATCTCAATTTATTTTTCCAAATAATATTTTTATCTTATTACTAAGATAGATAACGCACACAATGCGTGAGTCATATTCGATGAACTATTTCTGTTGACAACATAATAACGAAAATTATGTAAACAAATTTTTTTAGGGGTTGAAATATCTACACACTTATTCAAAAGAGATAATAATAATAATAATAATAATAATAAAAAAAAGATAATTAACATTAATGAGGACAACTAAGTAAATAAACATTTTAGAGGATATAATTGTGCAAACATTATTCATAAGAGTTAAATCATTAAATCATACAAGAAAAAACCTTAGTGACAATTAACATCATATTAATAGGGGCATATAAGTAAACAAACATTTTTAAGGGTATAATAGTCTTCAAAGTATTCACAAAGTGTTTTCTCATACTTTTTATACAATAGAGATTTTAAAAGGTAGGGATATATGCTTATAATAATGTTTGAAAATAAGTACTTCGTATTACGTATCATATGAAAAGTGTTTTATACTTCATATTATGATATACGATTGAATTTAATTCTTGTCTTCATAAAATTTAGGGGCCCATCCACTTGATTCCAATTCCAAAATATCAAAATTATTTTTCCCGGGTGTGCAAAATATCAAAAATAATAATAATAATTAAAATAAAGTAAGCCTACTTGCATTGCTGCGAATGCTGTCTATCTCTCCTATAAATTGATACAAGCTTTCTCCAAAAATTCATCATCTCAAAATCAAACATCAAATTTTCCTAGAAACCAAAATAATACTAAAATATGATGAAAAGCTTATCTTATTCAAAGCATTTTGTTGCTTTTCTTACCATAATTAGCATTACTTCACAAATTAGCTCAATTTTAGCAATCCATCGTCCAATATACACAGATTTTCTTAAAACATCATGCAAGTCAACACTTTACCCTGAACTTTGCTACAACTCCCTTTCAACCTATGCAAGTGACATCCAAACAAGTCCTCAAATGCTTGCAAATGCCGCCCTCTCGGTGACCTTAGCCACCACAAGGACCACCACCGCGATGATATCTAGGATGTCAAATGGCCCGGGAATACGGCCAAGGGATGCAGGTGCTCTAAGGGACTGTTTGGAAGAACTAAATGACGCAGTAAGTGAGCTTCAAGAGTCCATCAAGGAGATGAATCATATGAAGGGTAGTAAGAAAGTAGGGCTTATGATGAATGATATACAAACTTGGGTGAGTGCTGCATTGACCGACGCGGACACGTGTACGGCTGGATTTGATGGAAAGATCATGGATGGAAAGTTGAAGAGTGTTGTGAGAGGGAAAATTGTGACTATTTGTCACCTTACTAGTAATTCTTTGGCTTTGATCAACAGTTATGCTTCATCCATGCATAGTTAATAAGCTAGGCAAATTTTTTTTTTCTGGTGTGGTCATATTTTATGATAAATAGTAAGTGTATTAGGAAATCTGGATTGATTTTGTTTACCATGTTGAATTGTAATATATATATTGTATGAGTGATTCATGAATTAGATCAGTGTGATGCAGAACAGCCATAATCGCAACATTTATCTTAACATACAGAAGCTTGATTATACATGGCAACTTTCGGTTAAAAAACTTTCAAGATAAGATTTTGAGAGATTCGGAACTAGTTTTAAAATGTAATGTCATTTTTACAGCAGTAAATCGAAATAATAACCTTACAAAATTAACCTTTCACAATTCAGTAAAGCAGTATACAAATGACAAGATTTTAGAGCTAAAGATTCACAAAATTTGGTACTGCTGTACTGGAACCTTAGAAATTCTGTAGTTTCTGGTATCAATGGAACTTTAAGTTTGAAAAGTTCAACAAAATCTGAGAATCTGCCAGAATGGCTCAGATTGAAGGCGGAAGGTCAAGACGATCTTTTAGGAGGAGACATGTTATAAATCAGAGATCTAGTGGTAGTCACAGCAACTATCTTCACCAACAAATCTGTAGTATTCAAATTATAGACAGTAATCAATGACCAGACCTAGTTAATTATCTATATATGAAATAGTGAGAGGAGGAAGTAAACAAAGTTACCAATGAAAACACGAAGAGCTTCAATGAGCTGCAAGCTTTGTTTTTCCCAGCAGTCCGCAACCCCACTTTGAATAACCTTTACATCACATAAGCAGAAGGATCAGATAATTGGGACTAGGACAATCACAATAAATACTAGCTAATACAGAAAAGGAGCAGCAGAATGGTACCCTATGCAGTAGGTTCTATATGTATATCGTGGAATTTAATTGTATTCTCTGAGTAACTCAAACTCTTTGTTTCAACTTTAGTACCCATGTTGCAATTTTGATGCTCTAACTTGAAAGTGGAAACTTAGCACTTCATTTTCGGCCAGAAACACACAGAACCCCCCATGAAGTCTCACTCTTTTTCAAGAAAAAAATTAGAAGAAAACAGGCATAGCTTCTTCATGCAGGCACAAGTGAGTAAAGCAAGCCATTCAATTCTTTGAGCAAGGTAAGAGGACTAAAATTTTAATGAAAGAGTCAACGAAGATTTTCTGCCCACTTATTTATGCAACTCCAATAAAGAACTCCATGAGGCCTAGATACTTTTAAGTTTTAAGACTATCACCTATACATGCCAGCTCACACAAAAGCAATGGGCGATGTTGTCATCTCTTAAAAAGCTCAAAATCATGAGCCTTAGTACAATGGATGATTGGATGCTAAAGCCAATACTACTTATCTTCAAGGATGTATAAAATGGTTATCCACTGAATACTTCGCCTAATACTCCATTTCGCACACCGCCATACACAAATACACAATCAATCCACCAAAAGTCCTAGCCATGATGTAATGAGCAGCCATCAAATATTCACCTTACCAGTTGTATTTTATTCATAGTCATTTGCTGGCAAAACTATAGTCTTAACTCTAAAACTAATCATACTCGAACATATGGTGCAAGAAAGAAAGTGGGAAACAACAATGAGAACTGAGACAACACCAAATAAAAATTCTTAAGGAATTGAGGTTTATCAGTTTATGAGTGGTGCATGTTAATAATAGAGCCAAGCAATCCACTTCAATTCATCAAGCTTGAACTACCTAAAATTGGCAGCTAAATCTTTATTCATCCAAGAAATTTTCTCAATCTAATCAACAAACCTCTCTTTCTTCTCTTCTAGGAAGAAGCTTAGAACAAAAAATCATCATCGCTTTTGAGACTATTACTAGCTAATAGAGGCATTGGGGTAACTATAATGTTGATGTATAACCTGCTTCAAACTTTGAAGAGCTACTATGCAATATACTACTGTCCAATTTTGGAATTTAGAAGATGTTTGAAACTTATCCATGTTATGCTCGCTATTAACAAAGAGAAATTACCTCAAATAGGAGATTGGTCTTCATTACACAAGCTACTGAGAGGCCCACTGCTACGAATGACACAATCAAGTAAATATTCAACAGTGGTGATCGGCTTCGCCTACGACCTACAATACATGAAGTTATTAATAAGATACACATACCAATGCAAACTGATTCGCAGAAACATGTACAGAACACATCCATGCACACTTGAAATAGAATACTGACCTAATTCACAAACAAGAAGAGAAAGAAAATTGAGAACAATTGATGAAAGACGGAGCACATCAGAATCTTCTCCCTTTATCATTGATAACAACATTAAAATGGCACCAACAAATAAGACGAGACCCTGCATGACCAAATCGAGGTTTGCGTCAGAAAACAACCTAAACAAAACCAAATTGCCCAGTTGACAAAGATATAATGTCAAATTTGACATCAAACTTGAAAGCAATGGATTACTCCAAGCAAATATGCAACTGAAAGTTAACACTGAGATCACTCCAGTGACTTCACCATCCTAATATGCAGTGAAACTAGAAATGCCATAAGCACTATCTCTAAAGTTAACATTCATGTCCTTCCCAGCAAAGATTGGAACTCAATCAAGGAAACTATTTTGGTAAGGTGTTAGACTGACCATCTTCTCTTTGCACAAAGGATCTAATAACAGATAAGGGACAAATTATTCGACAAACACTAATCATAGAGATCATATGAATCTAAAACAACAACAAGTGCAATTTATTAACTTCAGAAATTAGCATATTCAGAAGTTCATAGGATTGCAATAATCCTAATAAAGAAGCCTGCTATAACTCCAACACCTTAAAATCTCAAATGATCTCAAGAACCAAATAAAGGGCTCAAACTTTGATTTTCCAACCAGCATGTATACCTAGATGGGAAACAAGTAAGGTTCAAATACAAGCTACACTTCATTTCAAATGTTAATGTCCTAAATAATCAACAATTCAGATTGGTTAGAACCAATTAAACGCATCAGCAGAAAATACCCAGAAACAAATTTCACCTTAAATCAATACCCACTAACTAAATTCCACAATGTCATTAAATATTGCATCTTTACCACTAAAATTCCCCCCAAATAAATAAAAAATCCCTAATTTGTAGCATAACTACCATCAAAGTTCTCATTTTTTATTTTTCAATATACCCAATGGGAAGCTACAATTAGAAAAAAAGAGAATTATTACCTGAATTAAGAGGAGAAAAGAGAGACGAGATTTCCCTTTGGCAACTTTAGTGTACCCTATTAATGAGATTTCAACAAGAACACAGAATTGTAAGAAAAAAGAAAGGTCAAATTTTTACAAAGAAATCAGAATTGCAGGAGAAAAAGGGGTCATACTGGAATCAACCACCATGCGATAGGAAAAGTCGGAGCCATCAGTTCCTGATGGCCTGCCGGCTGCCGATCTCCTCTGCTGCATTCTCTCTATCGCACTCTTCGTCTTGGTTGCTGCTCCGGTTGTGGATTTCCTTTCTTAGGGAAAACGCGGTGGAGTTATGACTTACGGGTAAATTCGTAAATGTAGATCATGTTTTCGAGTGGACTTAGCAATTAGTAAAGTAGATCTGACTTAAATGATCTCGATCCAAACTTAAACCACACCCAAAATTTGACCCATTCCAAAATAGAACAAGCCCGATCAAGTTCAAATGTAGTTGAAATTGATTTGTTTTATATAGTACGTGTAACCAACTTTTCAATAGACCCGCACATACTCGACTAGACCCATATACAAATTTCTCTTTATTTGAATCTAATTTTATGGTCAAACACTCAAACCAACCCATACTTGACCTAAATTCTCTTTGCCTATGTCTGAATTCAATTGTCACTCTAGTGACTCTACTTTTGGGTGTAGAATGTAAATTCTAAATTATGAGCCTACTAAAAGCGAGTCTCTTTTTATTTAATTCCCACATTATCGTCCACATAAGCATGTAAGAGAAAACCGTTTTTTTTTTTTTTTTTTTTATGCCGTTTCATTTGAAAACCGCTACTTCAAGTAGCAGTTTCTATAACAAGAAACCGCCACTTGAAGTAGCGGTTTCTATAACTGAAAACCGCTACTTGAAGTAGAGGTTTTCTGTTACAGAAATCAGTTCCTCAATGAGCCATTTAAATACATTGAACATCAACTAATGCAAGCTTCAATCAGATCAGCCACTTTCTTCATCCACTCCACAAATCAATGGCCATTTTTTTTTTATATAAAAATAGTATAATTGGCTCACCAAATAAATAATTAAAAAGGCTGAACACAAATTTGCAGTACTTGCATGTGTTCAAGTACATATGCTTCGGTTGGTAAATTAAACAAAAATCATTTAGAAATTGATATTACTATAAAATTTAGGTGAATTAATATCAATACATGTCAATTTAATTATAATAACATTATAATTAACAAGTAATTTGGGAAAAAAAGAAATTAGGGCAACAAAGAGCAACACCGAGGGAGTTTCAAGTGATGGAGCCGACGGAGTAGCCTCCACCGAGTTATTTCCGGCGACCTCAGAGCAGCTACGAGGGAGGTTCAACGCTCCGAAAAAGGTTGCGACGCTAAATAGATCGAGGAGAGGACCATATTCGGTTAGCCTGCTCTGTTTTTTTGTGTTCTTGTTCGAAAGAATGGTTTTTGGGTATTCTGAAAAGGAAGCCGCCACTTCAAGTAGCGGTGTAAGTGAGAGATAACCGCTACTTGAAGTAGCGGTTTACGTAAGAAACCCGCTACTTGAAGTAGCGGTTTTCTGTAAAAACCGTAAAAATAAAAATCTTGCTTAAATCGATGACGTAGACGGTAATGTGGGAATTAAATAAAAAGTGACTGTATATATGGAATTGAGTCTTTTCCCAACATTATTTTGGGAAAGGGCTCTAGCAAATACCATCATAATCTACCGATACAAAGAGAGTAATTTGTTAATAATTGATCAAAAAAGAATTCCATATAATTATTTGATCGATCAGATTCAATAGTACTTCGTATATCAATAACAATCATCTCCATCTTTGCTCATTTTATAAACTATGTAATTATGTATAGTATGTATGATCACCTCACTAATAAAAAAGTTAATGCAATGTCACATGATTGTTAGTTGTTACGTTACATTGCTCTTGAAAGTAAGAGTTGAACTATTTTACAACAATGAAGGAGCTAAAAGATACAAATGTAACTAAATAAAAATCGATGATTAATTAAGAATTAATATACAAAGAATATGTATTTGAAAAAATTACACACATATCAATTAGTGAGCTTTATAAAAAGCTAAAAGACCAACAAGAGGTGCATTAATGTAAGTAGCTGGTTCAGAATGAGGAAAATCAGCTCGAGAATCTGGATATTTGTCATTGATATCAGGTCCTCCAACAACAGCACCTACCAAAACATTCGGGTTAGGGTTACTACTAAAGAAGTAGGAAGTTCCTCCTTGACATTCAAGTTTCTCAGGGTGCACATCAGTGGAAGGCAAAGATGAGCCTCGATGATGTATCCTTTGAGGATATTTTTTTCCATATCCTACCATGTAAGACATACTCAACGGGTTGCCTCCAAGTATATAGTCCACCTGCATGCATCACATTTTTTAAAATTAAATACACGTGACATTCATCTAGTCATTGCAAAATAAACAATTGTGCAGACGTGTTATATGCTGATACATATATATATGATGGTATTCATTATATGTGTGTATGTCAACGATATACATTACAGAGTACCACATACGAGTATGTACAAACCTGACGTTTAGCGACTTGGGCGAGTCTAGGGGGATTGACGACTACATTTCCACATTGGATGGTCTTTTTTAAACTACTAGCATAACGACCATAAACCAAAAGTAAAAATGATATAGCTGTAGTATGTTGCATGTTACTTCCACCTGCTTTGAACAAGAGTCCGCCTAAACAATTACAATACAAGTTGAAGTTAATTAATCATTGTGATTTGTGACACTCTATTTATATTAAAACCGAAGTGAACATTTGTACTTTACCTGGACTATATGCGACTGATTTGGTTGTTGGAGATTCAGGCAACACAGAGCATACGAAGTTTTCAGCATTGGTAACGAATGGATTAGGTTGAAGATGCTTAGCAAATCCCAACTACAAATCATTGTAACCAAACACAAAGTTTAATCTAGTGGCATATATAGAAATATTATACGTAATTTGATATGTGTGCACTGCACGCGTGGGTGCCTTTATATATAGAATGACTAACCACAATATATAATGGATGGTTAGAATAAGCGTATGTACATACCTTGGAAACGAGTACGTTAATGCCAGCATGCTTAGTATCCCATCCAAATTCAGCAAAGTTACCACGATTTTTGTGGATGTTATTTAGCACATAATTTGAGTAATAAGGTAACTTTGTTGCCCTGTATAGCCAAGTTGCTGCCCATATCAATTCATCCTGCCAGAAATTATTCCAATCACAATTATTTTCAGATGATTTTAATGATATATAATATGATTTTACAGCGGTTGTTTGAAAAGTGACTACCAAATTATTTAATGATATATAATATGATCGGTTTATTTTTTCACGTTATAAAATGGCCACAATTAGTCTTATAATATCTACAATGTAAAAATAAATTTTGAAAAATTTTATCCAACATAAATTAAAGAAAAAATTGATTTTAATAATCTCACCTTTGACCGGTTCGCTGATAATAATCCCACCTTTAAATTATTATTTAATAATCCCACCTTTATAGGGGATCTTCTTCTATTGGTCCCTAATCTGTTGGTAACCGGTTTTGATAGGTTAAGATGCCACGTGTCATTTTGTAATTGGTTAAAAAATAAAAATTAAAAACTAAACATAAAAAAAAGGAAAAAAAACCCACTATCTACCAGCCATCTCCCACCTACCGTGAAACCCTTTTCCATACCCTAGCCCTACCAAAACCCGCCGACAGCCACCCTAAACCCCGAAAACGGCCAGCCACGGAAACCCCCAATACCAAAAACCACCTCGCCGACCTAAAGTCACCCCCGAAATCACCACCTGAACCAAATCCCACCCCCCAAACCACCATAACCACCACCTTGAAACCGCCGAAAACCCCCCGAAAATGGCCGAAAACAGTCGAAAACCTCTTCAAACCCTCTTATCGTCCCCTCGTTTGCTGGAGCTCCTGCTATTCCCGCTGCCCATGTTTGATTTGGGTTTGAATCGGAATAATTTGGGTAATTTCGTTGTGGTTTTGGGGGGCGATTTTGGTGGTGGGGCTGGGGTGTCGGGATGGATCTCGCCGTCGGGGGAGGTTTTGGTGACCGGTGGTGGAGTGTGGCATGGTCGTCGGCGGGGCAAGGGGAGGGGGGCTGCCGGCAGAAGGCTAAGGCAGGGGCTGGCTGGGTTTTTCTTTTTTAAAAAAAAAATTAGTTTTTTTAATTTTTTTGACCAATTATTTAGTGACACGTGTCACTCAAATTAAAAAAGAAAGAGTACAGATTATCGGTTATAAGGGACCAATAAAAGAAGATCCCTTATAAAAGTGAGATTATTAAATAATAATTTAAAGGTGGGATTATTAACAGCGAACCGGCTAAAGGTGGGATTATTAGAACAATTTTCTAAAATAAATATTTTTTGAGAAACTATAAAACAAGAATAAAAATTACATAAATGAAAATAAAAATTTGAAAAATCAAAAAAATGTTGATAATACTATTTAATATCATTAATAAAGTAATATAATTAATTACTTGGAAAAAAATATGTCAATTATAAACTATATAATCATTAAAACATTATAGTAGTCATATTTCAAACGTAAAATTTTCAATTATTTTCATAAATATTATAAACTGCTTTAATCTAGATTTAAAATCTGATGTTAATTACTAGTATAATTAGTAAAGAGTTATCTTTAAAGTATTACCTGATATCCACTGTAACTGCAGTAAAATGAACAGACCCAATGCCCAAGAGTGTCATTGTATGAGCCTTGGTATGTATTTGCAAATTCAAAAACCTAATCCATACAAAGGTGTACGTTAAATCACTATCAACAATATCAGGTTGTTTTCTTCGTTTCACAATACATATACCAAAAACACTTGCGTGGACCTGGTCCACAATAATATTATTGTGGACTCAAGGTCTATACACACGCAACTGACATTATATTGAATATAGTGACCATTATTTTTAACATAGTAACCTTATTTTTAACATAGTAACCTTTATTAAAACTACTACAACGTTTAATAATATTGTGAACTTGAAATACGACGCTATTACCCTAATTTTAGCATAGTGGTCTTTATTATTCATATTGATCAGTATATAAAATATTTCATTACAAAAATAACCACTTAGGCCTATATATTACCAAAATGATTTTTATTTCAACATAGTGACTTTTTTTAAAATTATAGTGACCCTTTTTTTTGTTAATAAAACAACCATACTTTCTCTAATGTTAGTGGTCCACAATAAATTAGTGTGAACCAGGTCTATTTAAGAATTTGTATACATATACTTCCTCCGTTCTTTTAATATCGCATCACTTGTCTTTTAGGGAAGTTTCACAAATATTGCATCACTTTTACTTTAGGACAAAAATTATCTATGTTCACACTGCAAATACCCAACATACCCTTACTTTTTTCATACTTACTTTTTATTTTATCTTTACATTACATGGTCAATTTTGTATTTTTACGTTTCTCTCTCTTACTTTTTCCCATTATCAAATTTTGCCTCAAAAACCCCTATAATACAATAAAAAAAGAACGGAGGAAGTATTATTTTGACTTTTACACTTGATGATAAAATAATTTGATGAATCGTATAAAAAGTCAAAATAACTCAAATATTGCAGAGGAATCATGTTTCTTTAGAGTATTGGCTAGCTAAGATGCACGTAAATATACCGTTTTAGCCCGGCTAAGAAGACGTGCAGCATAAGTCCGGTTAGAAGACCTTAGCACAATGGAAGAAGCAGCCAAGGCCGCAGCCATCTCAGCAGAAACTTCGGACCCTGGATACTTTTTGCTAACAGCGAAGGGGTTTCGAGGTGTGTCCATGTCCTCCGGCCTCTCCCAACAGTTGTGATCGGCGAAACCTTCTCCGACTTGAGCAAATACAATCCCTGGCATACGAGTGCATTTTAAAAAGTAATCGGTCGCCCATTGGATCGCCTCGAGGGCGTGTGGGAGCTCTGTGCCCATGAAGGGCTTAAAATCGGCTACACTCCAAGCTAGCATGGTTGTGGTAAATGCCATAGGGAAGTTGAACTTGATATTATCACCAGCATCATAATAGCCTCCTACTAAATCAATGTGTTTTATGCCAATTTGGGATTCTCCAATCTATAATTTTGTTACAAAAATATATAAGCAATTCGAGAAAATGAAGAAATTAAATTAAAATACGTCATAAAAAAGATGTGACCAACCTACATTATCCTAGGAGGTTTTGTCATGACATTGCCATTTTTCTAGCTTGTCGACCTTGTACAATAATTACAAGTCAATTTTATAAAATTTTAGTAAAACAAACTCATTCATATCATATAAAATATACATGTTTTGTGATAAGTTAATCAGATATACTACTCGTATTATGACCATAAAAATATACGTTGTAAATGGTAATAATACTCTCGAACACCCCTCTTAAAAGGTCATCAACTCACGCTTATATCTCCAAGACGTACTTCAACACAATAATAGCTACTATTTTGGTTTCAAAAGGAGTTTTAATTAGTTCGTTTTTATAGATAGACGAGTCATACATTATTATATAATACGCAAAAATTAAAAGAACTCACACTCTTTTGGAAGCTATCGCGAAGACCAGAATCCTTGCGCCAAGTCATTCGTTGAGAGGGTGGCAGCTTTCCCGACCTTTGGCCTTCAAAGAACAATATACTCTTTGATAATGCATCTCCATAATCATGACGTATTGCACCAGTTGAGCTCCCCACCAACTCAGCCAACAAAATTCCCATAAAAACTAACCCCACCCCAACCTTCCCAACCACTTTCTTCATCATCCTTGTTGTTTTGATTGATCTCTTTGAATAAGAATGATGTATCCTCCCTTTAGTCGTATATTACAATGCTTGATCATAGTTTCGAGTCATTGCATATATATAGGTATAAACTCGACGTCTTAACGAACACTGTTTTCTTAGGAAGAGTAAAAGAGGGAGAGAGTGAGTGAAGGGAAAGGGATAGATATGAAAAACAACAAGTTGAAAGGGTAGAAATTAAAAGAATTGGAGTTTGGCGTGGGAGGTGCGCTAAATGTGCGACTTGCAAAGGTTGTGTGATAAAGGAGGATGTTGCGTTATTGCGTTGATTAGAAAATTATAAGAATTGTGCATTTTTGATAACTTATAGGAGAATATTAATGCAAGAACAAAGTAGCTAGTAGTAGCATAAATTTACTTGGTTTTTTGTCAAGGTTTTATTTGTTTGCGGCCTAATTACGTATCATATTCCATTGCATTGCTTAGTGTTTTAGATTTATTACAAATTTACAAGTACTTCTAGTACATTTTTTAAGAGTTGCTTCTTTAATTAAAGGGTAAATTATTTAGTTTTGCTAATAAAACATTATTGTAGTGATTGTATAGGGAGATATCCAAACTTGAAATCAAATAAATCTCATATATAAAAAATGTTGTTTGTCTTTTGAGTTAAAGATGTTAGATAATATATAACTTCGGTTTGACTTTGATAATATTGTATTATAGTACATGATTTATAATTGTCATATAATAGAATGAGACCGCTTGATTAAAATTATATTCTCACTTCATTCCTGAAAGTTTGATTCACTTTGTATTTGCACGGTTTTTAATGAACATCTTTGATCATAAATTTCTTTGGCTACGTACAAGTGGAAATTACTAGTATAGAAAGTTGATATTTGGAAAATTTATAATAAGGACCCGGGAATCTAATTAGATCCCACGTGCTATTTATTTCTATTGTACAAATCAATTAATGTGGTCAAAGTTTTTTCTTTTTTTAACAACATGATTCGTAAGTTAGTCGAACTTAAAAAAACGAAGATAGTATACTAGCTTAGTACATACATTTTCATTTAATTTTTTATAGTAGTTTTATACTCTGTACATGTTAATATTACTATTTTTAAATTCGAATTATCCTATTGAAGTAGTTTAGCTAGTGTTTAAATGGTTGTAGAAGAAAAGTTAGCAAACATTCATGCACCAAATCAATTTGCTTTCCACTGGTCGTGCATGGAAATATTGAGTTTGAGGATGTTGAGAATTTCAAGAGATCAAATGCTTAAAAATGGTACCTTAAATCAACCACCTTTACGTGCCAACCTACAAAAGAAAGTACCCTTTTATCATTAAGGCTTCTTTACCTACTAGCCGGATCAATTGGAATGGAGTTCCGTACGATTTGCTGCCCTGCTTTTCTCCCTACTGCCATTTTTGAAGGCAATCTTAGATCAAACTTGTGTGCTACTCATAGTCTTATTAATTTATTATCGTTGACTTATTGACTATTCTTCTTTATGTTGTTTGCTAGGTTAGCATTACTTTGTTGTGTGTTTAGTTAGCCATTCAATCTAACTCTGCGAGTCATGCCGTGTAAGCTCACGTATCATGTCAACGTGCCTTATGTTCAAGTGGACAATGTCCAAAACAGAATAAGAAATGTCGGGTTCATACCGATCTTTCATAAATAGAGCTCATACATAGCTTGGGCCAAGCTTCGTGTCGTACCAACAGATCCCCTTAAAGGCTTTAATGGTTTTTATAGATTTTTGTTAAATGGTAAAAAGAATAAGCAGGCTGATACGTAGTAGACCTGTTGTGTTCAAACCAAGTTCGTGCCTAATTTTAAAAATGTTGTCCATGTACGAGTAGTGCATAACCCGTGACCTACCAGCGTGTCTCTCATGCCATGTCGGATTTTGACGGCTTCGTACCAAGTCGGACCATTTTCGTGCAACGCCTAACTAGCCCTCATGCCAACCCAACCCAACGCAACCCATGACCATCTATTAGCCCATTTTCAGATATACCCTTCCAAACACCGTGTTTGAGTTCGATCAATTAACCCCTCCTAAAGTGAATCGCTAAAACCCTCATCCACCATTCCCATACTCCAGCGCCCAATTCTGTACTCTATCTCTCAAAAATGTTCTTCTTAACTGAAATTGAGCACAGATTAAGATTGCCCCCAAAATTACTTGATCGTCCATTAGAAGATGCTATCAAGGGTGAACTTGAATCTATCTTCTTGGACAAGGTTTTATCATCTTTCTTCTTTTTGTTTTCTGGGTTTAATTTACTCTGATTAATCAAATTTCCCCCCCCCCCCCTTTTCTTTTATTAATTCTAAATTTTAAAATGGTGGTTTAGGTGATTGCGAAAACAGGTTTGTGTGTATCAATGTACGATATCAAATCAATTGATGGCGGCTTTGTATTACCTGTTGAAGGTGCTCCCACTTATACGGTATCTGATTTTTCTCCTTTAATTTTTTTTTTGGTTGAGTAATTTGCCAAAAAAAAAAAAAAAAAAAAAAAAAAAAAATCTGGGTATTGGGATTAAATGACTTGAACTCCAATTAAGTTGAAGCTTTGGATAATTATCTTAGCATAAATTTCCCAGAAATGAACCTTTTTCAACAATATTGTTACTTCATGTTTAATTTTGAAATGGAAGGCACAGCTTTTTACTACATTATGTCAATTATGTGTTAATTTTCAAAATTATGATTCTTGTTCGTGTTGTCATAGCAGAAATTGCTTATTGTGAAATAAATTGAGGCCCTTTGTCAAAATAATTATAGTGACCAGGAGTGTGCTTGTTAGGGTGATGCAAAGTACCTTGATGATTCAATGTAATAGTGACTATGGATGGTTGTATTGAATGGTTTGAGGTTATTTTTGAGAAGTTTTTGGAGAATTGTATGTTCATTGTTGACGGTTCGCCAGAAGTGGTGATTTGTAAATTGTGCACAAGTTTTTATTGCAATGCATGAGAGATGGTGAGGTGGCTTAGAGCTTTAAGGAGATGTTGAGGTGTGGTTTGAGGTTTAATTTTTTGAAATTGAAAATGGGTGCATCATCTGGAATTTGTCCCAATAGACAAGTGGAGGCTGTTAGATGAATTTGGGTTCTGCATAATTTGTATGGAACTGTATATTTTCTGTAGGATTTTTGGGTACTTAGATTGTTTTATCTGATTAATGAATTCTAAAAGCGGTAATGAGCTTTTATAATAGTAGCAGCTATTAAGGATGCAAGATCAGAAATCATACCTTACTGGGGGCTTTGAGAAGAAAAACAAACTGAGTGGTTGTCAGATAAATGGAGATGCCAGAGGTCTTCCCCCCATCCTTGTGAAAATAGGTCCTTCCATATATATATGCTTATGCCTGTTTATTCTCTGTCGTCTTCTCTAGGAATGATCGATTTCTTTCTTGCAGTTTTGATTTTTAAATGCACTAAAAGGTGGTTGGATTCCCTCTTATGAATAGCAGGGTGAATAGGTTGAACTTGCAAATTGAAAGGATATCTGATGAAAAATTATGGTTTTGTATAGGATAACTCGGGAGTGAATGTAATAGCACTGATATCTTTGTTTTCTTTTCCTATCATGCATTTTCTGCTCTGCAGGTGGTTTTTCGTATGGTCATGTTCCGGCCATATGTTGGAGAAATTATTGCTGCAAAACTAAAGAATTCTAACAAAAAGGGATTACAATGTATGTCTTGTTTTCTTTATTTATCTCCATTACTTATTTGTTAATGTAAGTATGGCGTTTACATTCTTCATTTGATATTTATACGATCTTGCCTTAGCATTTCCTTCTTTCTTTGTACGCGTATGTTGCATCTCATAAATTGAATGAAGATTAAGGAGACACTCTCACTTGCATCCACATGATATTATTGATAAAGATGGTTCTTAGAATCTTGTGCATCAATATTTATTGTTCTTAGGCTTTTTTTTTATCAGTCTTGCTACTTATAATGATTGAATTGTAGGAACATATCAGCCCTGGAGGAGGGGGGGGGGGGGTGTGGGGTGGGGCTGCATCATTTTTAGCTTCTTGTTGCTTGGAGGACAGAAGACCCTATATTCATGATGTATATGTTTGAATCAAATAGATAAGCTCTGCAGTTATATCTTATTATATAAGATCATGAGAAGCAGCTCTGGGACCTATTTATTCTTTAAAATGGCTCTTGACCTATCTAACGATGCCTTGTGGAGGGGATGCAAGAGCTTTCATATTTTTCCATGTTTATGTTTCTTTCTTCATGCTCTTTTTTTCTTTCTTATTGATTACAATTTGGAGTTTGGGGTGTTGGTTTGCTTTTAAGCTAATAGCATTGGGACTACTAGCCCCTTAAAACCATGTCACTCGGAAAATATCGTGGAGTTGGTGACAAAATTATCTTGTCAACTAAATATTCTTCATTATTTCTGACACTTGACCCTCATCTCTCTCTCCCATTTGACCTGACCTTTCATATGCAACTATGATGTACAATGATTCCGCTTTGCCATAATTTTGCAATCAAAACTTGCTGACAATTGATTATAAACATGTTGCTTGTTGTTACAGTTTGCTGATCTTAATGTTTTTACTGCTGTTCTCATACATTTTTAAGCTAACGATTGGAATTTATAGCTTTCAGCTTCATAATCGCTCATATTTTTTTTCTTTGGTTTAATGTATTGTGGATTAATTTGATGATACACAGTGTCTCTTGGGTTTTTTGACGACATATACATTCCTGCCTTTGCTCTGCCAGACCCGTCACATATCGAGCCCCATGATGATGATCCGTAAGATCAATTACCTATGTTTGTCCCTTTTTGCACCTCTAGTTTAAATTTAAAGATACTAAACTTAAGTCAATATTTTTCCTTTAGTTGTAATCTTTTTTTTTTTTTTCTGGGGAACTGCAGCAAGCAAGTGAAATGGGTGTGGACTTACAATGATCTTGAATTATCCTATGATGACGAAAATGTGGTCAGGACCCTCTTTGATTTTTATTATTTATTGTTACTATTATTAATATTATTTTTTAATCTTGTCACTACCATTATCATTTGTCATAGATTACTATGTTTCCTCATCTGCAGATACGGTTTCAAGTTACTAGTGTTGACTACCCTCCAATCCCTTTAGAACAAGAAGAAGGTTCAAAGCCTTTTGCTCCAATGGTTGTCACTGTGAGTTCTCTCATCCGACTTATAGTTGTTCACTTATTGTGAAGATGTTCCCAATAAGAGATGAAAAGAGAAGTGGGAAAAAAAGATTATTATCATTGACGATTATAGTGTGTATGCATATAGCATTGGTATACAACAGAAAGTGCACATAGCAAAACCACTATCAGCAAAAATCAATTATAATCAATAAAAATCAGTGGTTCTAACCAGAAAGTTCAATTGATCTTTAATAAAAATTAGTGGCTCTAAGCGAAAAAGGGAAGTATTCATTATTAATCAGAAAAATTCAGCTCAGTTCATTATTAATCACTTAAATAAACTGTCTTTCATTTTTTTAATAACTTGCTTTATATTGTCTGCTATATATCTTCCCTTTTGTTCTAGTTTGACAAACGGCTGTATAATTCGAGCATTCCTTTGTCATAGGGATTACTTAACTCTGATGGTTTAGGCCCCATTTCATGGTGGGTATAATTCCCGATTACTGAAACTGATCATCACAGCAAGAACCAGGCTTAAAAGTTGACATAATAACCAGGCCTGATCATCGAAGTCATTCTAACAATCAAGTCGCAACAAAGCTGCTGAACTTGGTTCCCTGGTGCAATGTCCAGCTTGGTTACTCACTAGCCTTCTTTGACACATGATGAATATACTCCTTGTAACTTCTAGTGCAATGCAAGAGAAATGAAAGACAACTTTGTATAATATTTTTTCAGGGAAGCCCATTTGTCCAAGGCCATGATTCTTGATCCAATTTTGCCCCAGCCACCAATCATGACTGTAACCTTTTTTTTAATTTCATCTACCAATACAATATAGATATGGTGTGTATAGTACTCCGATTTTCTTAAAAGCCTAATGCTTTAGATTTCTTATTAATTTTGTGAATAAATGATGTGATCATTTTCCAATTTTACCCTGACCACCTTCATCACTTGTCACACCCCTCTATTCTCTCATCAACCACCATCACAAGTAGGCACCCTTGGTGGTGGCGGCCAGAATACAAGAGTTGTTGACCATTGCCTATCATGGGTAATTAGAAGGTGATTACAACACCGGTCACTACTACCCAGCGTGCAAACGTTCTCAAAATCAATGGTCACATGCTCACATCCATATCCAAAAATGTCCGGAAAAAGTTACCACGTTTTATCCAAAACAAAGGCTTCTAATTTATAACATGTATGTTTAAAACCATGTCATATCTATTGAGCTAATGAGATTTAAGAGAACGTGAATTGATCTTGAAACAAGGGGCTTATATTATAGAAATTGAAATGTATGTGACGGATGAAGTACCTGATAACCAGGGGAGGTTTTCTGCTTTTGATATGTATGAAACTATGAATGAATATGAATTATCTATATTATTTCAATAATTTTGCTTAGAATTCATAAAACAATTCAATGTTTTTAAGAAATAGTAGTGTTTCTGTTTGACAATGGACATAGAATAGAGGTGGAGGTTGAGTAAAACCCGCTTGGTGAAATGAATGAGCATGGAAATGGCACGTGATTCGAGCTGTCTGTCTTGGATTCCTTCTCTAACATTAATTGCATTGTTACTCTTAAAATGTGCTATGTTAATGTTGCTAAATTTCAGCTGAAACACCCCGTTTTAAAGAATTATTTGGACCTTTTTAATTTTAATTTTTAAAAATATTTGTAGTGAATTAGACATAATTAATGAAGAGCAAGAATCTTTTTGGGTAATAGCAATGGCTCATAGGTTGAATTATGAAAAGTAATTGCATATTATATAGTTAGTCACTTGGTGGTGAGATTGATTATACAATGAGTAATATTATCCAAATCTTGAACATGATTTGTGGATCAAAGGCTGACTTATTGTATTAGAAACCAAATTCAAGTAGTAAATCTTGATTAACATTTACTTTGTATAATTATAATAATCGGGGGAAATTTTTATCTAACAACCTAGAGAGTCCTCTAGATAGCATGTTAACAACAAAACCTTTGCTATAGCTATCTGCGATATACAACGCAGAAAGTCTTTTCAATAACGTATTGACATATTTAACACCAATTCAACGAAAATTCCATATTCAAATATTATATATCTCATGTTTTTGAGTCTTTGAATGAAGTACATTAAGGCCTTGTTTGGTTGACAATATAAAATGGGGGAAATGGAAATTCATGGGATTTGATAAATTGTAGGAGTTGTTTGGTTGACACAAAAAAGCAAAAAATGAGGGAAGTGGAAATTCATGGGAATTTCAACTTCCCACAAAATAAGGGAAGTAAATTGCCTAACCCCCTAGATTAATCAAAATTCATGGGATTTCTAAATTCCCACATTGCCAACCAAACAAATTTAGAAAATTCCCAGGAATTTCATTAGGGAAATAACTTCCCATGAAATGCAATTTCCATGTCAACCAAACAAGACCTAATTAGTTCGTATTTTAATCTTTTGAATGTAAAGGACAGTTGGATACTAATGTTTATAAAAATGAAATAGAAGAAACTTATTAATGAACTAAATGTAAAGAATTGGTCTTGCACCCTACAATTTCTATTAGCAAGCCTGGCCCCTTTGTAATATAAGCAATTAAAGTATTGAAATTATATTTTGAAAAGAGGGTGGGAAAAACAATTCCTATTCACACATTACATCTGTATATCTAAGACATTTCGTAGTCAATTGATTTATTAAAATTTACTCCTAATTATATTGTTGTTGAAGATTAAGCTAATTAAGCAGGTGTATTGATTTTCGTGCAAAATCAAATAAAAGCACATGGATGAGCCTCGTTATAAGGCTCTAGTTTGAAATTTGTGTGTTGCAATGTCGTTATGTCGATATATCAGCACTAATTCCTTACAATTCGTACGTACTTTTTTTGCACCTCATTGGTCTCATTACGTTGCATAATGCAATTGCGATGTGCCTTCTATATTATCTGATCATTTTACTAATTATCTTCAAAGAAGGGTCGTGAATGAACTACATAATCATATACTGAGAAATTGATCTGTATGTGAAGATAGGTACATCGCTCAAGACGAAGTTTATGCTCTTGAGCTTAAATGTATAGAGACTTTATTATGCTATAAATGGTACACGATATATTTAAAACTTTGTCTTAGGTGTACCTATTACATGTTTATATTCAATTGTACTGTATAGTAGCTTGTTTAAATTTGTTAGATTGAATACAAAAACTTTTACTTCTTTATGTAGAAAGTTCAATTACTGGGAAAAACTTGATTCAAGATATTTTGATTTTCTATGTGTTTTAATGTGAACCAAAGTTTACACACTCGCTTGATTTACAAATGTAATTTTGATTGTCAAATTAGCGCATCAATAAATTGTACATAATATTAAACGACTAGTAGTATGGTGGGTGAGGAGGGAATGATTAGATTGCTTAAAATGGCCGATCCCAACTTCTTCTCGAGGTAATACAACTATACAAGTGCAAACAATGTATCCTAATCCAACAGTTTGTTTGAAAATTTTGGTCATTTGCTTGAATTTGAAGTTTATGACATGAAAAACATTCATCATTAGAAGAAAGTGTATGTTAAATTCCTATGGTATATATTAATGCTTTGAATTTTATGTGGTTGAACTACTCTTCAAGTATAAGACTTCGAGTTGCACTTAAACATGTCCAAGCAATGTGCATGTGCAGATCTAGAATTACAACCCCATTTAAGTATTTGTTGTCCTTGTTTCCAATTATTGGTGCGCTACATATGTTCAAAAGCATACAAAACTATTAACTCCTTATGTGTCATTCTTCTAATCATTTCTCCAATTTTCGAAAATTTTATTTACTTCGTAATTAATTCAGTGTATTTCATATGAAAAGGAAAATCACCTCTAAACCGGTATGTACAAGCTCTACTTTGAATTACATTAAAAGCAAACATTGATAGAATTTTAAATACAATGTTACTCTAAAGTCAATTTCGATTTCTCCATATGAACATGTATATACGTAACCTTATACTTCGTAAGAAGAGAATAGGAGTTATCTTTTATTAGGCGGCATAGGATCACTATGCTATATATCTCTGGTGTACACCAATTATATAAGAACGTGTTTTCTTACATGGACTTGATAAATTAGGGTGTTATATTTAACAATAGAAGAAATCTTTCGTGTGTTGTGTTTCGGTGTTCTCTTGAGATTTTTGTATACATAACATTTCTCATGTAGTTGGATTTGGATTAATTATTATTATCCTCCTCCTCAAGTCTAAATCACGCAACAATTCCAATTTTTCTTGTAAAAACTTCCAATGGACAAGAAAAAAAGAGGGAGAAACATTAATGCTAGGAATTAATGCTGCCTTTTAAAACTTAATTATACACTAATGTACCACTAATTAAGGTTATGACTAGGATTACAAAAGGGAGGGAGGTATGAATATTACTAATGGCAAATAATTATTATAATTATTGACTTGTGCAGAACTCTTTGTGCATGAGCAAAAACTTACGTAAAGAAATACATCATTCATGACATAAAAAATTGCTAAGACATGAGTTGTTTCTAACATTTTATATTTTCCATAAAAACCACTTAGCCAAATTATAAGAGAGATCCATTGTTTAAAGCAAAGCATAATCAATACTTGTATTTATTCAACTATTCATAATTTCTGGGATATACTACTTATATTAGTTATATAACCAAACCTCTCCTAGAGATCTGAGTCCCTCTTATTTCTCCCTACAAAAAACACACTAAAAAAAAATTTATGCCCTCCAATACAAGAAAATGGTATCTCTAAACTACCTATTCCTCTCCTTAACCATATTTGCCTCTATAGCTTGTACATTCTCTGAGCCCGAGGATGCTCCCCTCGACGATATAAACAAATGGTGTGACACCGTTCCACACCCCAAGACATGCAAGTACTTCATGGCTCGAACACCAGGTGTGTTCGAGCCAAAGCAGAAGTCCGATTTTAAAAGAATGATGGTGGAGGCGGCCTTGGACCGTGCCATGGCCGCTCAAGGCCACCTGTGGACATGGGGGGAAAAGTGCGCAAATCATAGTGAGCGAGCAGCATGGTCTGACTGCATTAGGCTTTATAGTCACACCATAATTCAACTTAATTACACCCTCTATGGTTTGACTAGTAATTCGAGTTTCTCTGACTTCGATGCTCAAACCTGGCTTAGCTCCTCCCTCACCAACCTTGACACTTGTATGAGTGGGTCCCAAGACATGAATGTCACATCGTTCATCTGGCCCCACGTCTCATACAACGTGTCCGACCTAATATCCAATGGGTTAGCCATAAGTGAAGGCCTAATTGAAGAATTTGTCAATGCTACTAGTAGTGGTAACACAACCGAGTACCCTACTTGGATGAGGCATGAAGAAAGGAGGTTAGTGCAAGTATCTAGGAAGTTGGCTGTCAAAAACGCTATGTTCGTCGTGTCTAAGGATGGTTCGAGCCCTTATATGACGGTTCAATCAGCCATTGATGCCGCGGCTAGGAGCCGTATAAGGGGGAGGAAAGTGATACATGTCAAAAGAGGTGTTTATAGGGAGAATATATATGTTGGACCATACAACGATGATATTATGTTGGTTGGTGATGGTATGAGGAATACCATTATTACTAGTAGTAGAAGTGCTCGATCTGGTTATACAACCTATAGTTCTGCAACCGCAGGTATGTTACATCATAAATCATCTCCTATTTTATTATATATATATATATATATATGCTTTGCATTAGCTAAATTATGTAGAGTTTTGGTAGTATATACTTAGGCAATTAGCAAAATATGTTACATGAACATGCATGCAGTATCTTAATTGATCCAATGGTAGGGTTTTAGGGGTCGGGTTAAACTTAAGTTCGACTTTAGTTCTTTGGAGAAAGGCCGGTTTCCTTTAGTCTTTGCTCCTCATCATTCCCAAAGTCCCAAGTCTCAACAGTCTGAGTTTTGACAAACTTGAAAATTACCCTCGATAAGTTTTGATGGTCTAGCCTGGACTCGTTTAATTATGATACATGATTGAAAAAACACACACCTAGATTAGCTAAGTGTTTATTTTTATACTTTAGTAGCGTTACTCAATGTGTAGCTTAGTGATTATGATCCATTGATTAATTTTTAAAGGAGGGGCTAGATTACTATCGAATCAAAAAGGGCCATTCATGACCAAATACTTGACGATTACAATATATTCCTATGAAAAGAAGTCAAAATAGAAGATCTAGATCTTAATTTATACACATACAATTATTTTAAAAGTTTGTGTATTTAATGGAGCATCAATCATTGACCATACTTTTAGTGACTTGAAGCAACATCCTGCTATGTCTGACTTTTTCATAAGTACTTAATTAAAGTACTTGTTCATCATTTACATTTGATTACTTCTAAAGTCAGTACTTCCTTTACCATTTGGCACGGTGGCCCTTGTGCCAAGCAACAATTCATGTTACATGTTACCATATATCACTGTTTTTTCTTGTCCCATAATATGTAACAAATATATACTCCGCCATGTAAAAAATATGCAAGATTGCGAATATGTTGTAATTAATAGAGTACCTTGTATGATATATAATCGAGTAATCGACAATAAAAAAAAAAAAAAAAATGCTAAATACGTACATTATAGTAAAATCTAATGATTTTTTTTTTCTTTAAAGGTATTGATGGACTTCGATTCATTGCTCGTGACTTAACCATTCAAAATGCAGCGGGGGCGCAAATGGGCCAAGCTGTGGCATTGCGCTCGAGCTCGGATCTTTCAGTTTTTTACAAATGTGCATTCCTAGGATACCAAGACACCCTATTTGTACATTCACAAAGACAATTCTACAAAATGTGTTACATTTTTGGTACAATTGACGTTATTTTCGGGAACGCGGCTGTTGTATTCCAAAGCTGTATGATCTATGCTAGGGTGCCTGTTTTAGGCCAAGCAAATGTCATCACGGCGCAGGGTCGGGTTGACCCAAATCAAAACACAGGGATCGTGATGCATGGATGTCGGATCATGGCAGATGAAGACCTTGCAGGAAAGATCCGGTCCGTTTCCACGTACTTGGGTCGACCATGGCAACAGTATTCTCGGACAATTATCATGAGATCATACATGGGCCCGTTGGTTCACAGAGCAGGGTGGATGCCCTGGAAGAGTGCCGGGTATTTGAGCACCTTATACTATGCAGAGTTCGGTAATTTCGGGCCTGGTGCAATGCTTCGCAATCGGGTCAAGTGGCCGGGTTACCATATCATCACTAGGCCTAACGCAGTCTCACAGTTTAGCGTTGAACGCTTCATCGCAGGGCGAAAATGGCTGCCTGCAACCGGTGTGCCCTTCAGTCCTGGTGTCTAAACCATACAATAGAGTACTAAATTATTTTGCTTGGCGATTAATTTCTCATTGATCATATTCATATTAGTGCAGAAACTACTACCCAGGGATAATTTTTACTCCCTTTCCTGTTTGAGTAATTATTTGAAGATTGATCAGGTAGTAATATTTAAATTGTTTTCTGAAACTTGTTGATTTATACATATTTAATTCATGTAAAAATAGAGAGATTGGAGGAAATAATTTTAGGGCTACATTTTCCTTTGCTTCTCATTTCTTCAGTATTTTGTATTTTCAATGTTAACCATGTCAGAGTTTGGATCTTGGTTTGGATTAAACTTCTTGGGCCGAAAATGAACTGAAATATAAATCTCTTTCTATATGTAAATTGCCTTAAGCCCTTAACACAACTGGTGCACCAATCAACTGAAATGCACAGCGCAGACTGCAGTCTGTACTAGATGCAATAAACGGCGTACATAGTTATAAAAACTTCATCATAACATTTCAACGAATTGCTTTCAGAGAACGGAACTTTGAGGTTCTTCAACCTTATCATAAATCAGAAACTCTAGCAAAATTTCAACTACAGAAGAGATCCTAATGACGAATTGATGAAGGAATATTAACAAGAGGATTTGCAGAGTTGCCCTAGGGTAATAAACGCCTTAACGGAAGAGCCTTGGAACTGATCTTTTAGGTACTTTGCCTTCCAACTTCAGCCTTCTATATGATTCTCGTATGTGGCATGGCCTAATGGGGCCAGAATCCTTTCTTTCAGACATCACTATTTTAGCTGCACACAGAAGCGGTACCAATCAATAGGCAGCAACAATGTATAACCCACGAGTTATAATCAATAAACAGCAACTATGATATATTGCACATAAAGCCTGGAATCCCAAGCTGTATAAAAAGTTTATGTTGCTCGTCATAAGACTCATAACATTTAAATATATATTGGTCAGCAAAATTCACGATGCACAAAGGATAAGAGAATGCATGAAAATTTGGAGATAGAAGTCGTTAAACTAGTTGGGATATATCAGTACCTTCAAAATTAACACCCAACCTTAAGCAAACTAATGGAATGGTTAATTACACATTAGCCACACCTCATGGCCTCATATATGCAGCATGTTTAAGCCTAAAAAGGGAGCCTTTCTTGTAGTTTCTATTGTATAGACACTTAAAAGTTGAGATTAAGATTTGACAATGCCAAAAGTGCTCCATAAACTAAATAGTAGTGATAAAATTTTCAGGGACATACCCATTTCCAAATCACACTATTTTTGCCTAGCAAATTAAAATGAATACCTGTCTCAACGAGCTCCCCAACAAACATTTTTGCAATTCCCGATGCAACAATGGACATAGGTACAGAAATCTTCTGACTGCCTGTAATACTTACTAACAACTGCATTGAAAAAACGAGAAGAAAAAATACATAATTTAAGTTAACTTGACAACGTTATTCAACAAGTGAGCTTCTCTGTGTTCCCACACCTTTATCTATCCATATTAAGCAACGAATTTCCCAAGACTAAGGCCCTGTTCATTTCACCTTAAAAAAATAATATTCAGTTAAATAAATTCAATTCAACAAAAATAAGTTCTCAGTAACTTTAAAGAAGAAATATAACAGAAAATCAGTAGAAATAATTCCAATTCAGCAAAAATAATTTCAGTTCAGTAAAATTAATTTCAGTGAGCAAAAATAATTTCACTTCAGTAAAAATAATTTCTATTCAGCAAAAATAAGGTGAAGTAACGGAGCCTAACATAAGATAGCAGAAACATGTGAAAGAGGTATACCCTCTTCATGTTGGATCTCTGGAAACCAGACCTCCGAAAAGATTCATATCTGCTCATTTGCTCCTCTGTAAATCGAGATAAGATGGTTCTGAAAGTAATTTTAACAGTATAGTCAATTAGTCATTCATGAGAAAGTAAACATGTTAATTACATCCAAGGTGCATCAAATTTTTTAAATATCAACTTGTCTTTGTTTATGTGCAATGCAAAGGATTTTGGTCATAGAGAGACAAATTAGCAATGAAACCAATCATATGTATTGAGGTTTATGATGAAGTAATATATCTTCTGAAAAGTCAAGATACAGCAATATAAACAGGGAGGAGAGAAAAAAAAAAAAAGTATTTTTAGAGATATTATGAAATACAGATTAATATGATAAAAAAAAATACAAGTATAATTCTTGGTTGAATATATTTCTCCTTATAAATATTTTTGGGCAACTATTTACAAGTATTTATACTCTGTAACTACTTATGGATTTAAGGGCATTAAGCCGCAAATTCAACCACTGAATTGGTGATCGAATTCTCACACTTCTATAGAGCTATAGAAGAGGTCAAGGGTTCAAGCCTTAGTAGGTAAAGATTACAAGAGCATGTAACACTTAAATGAGTTTATTATTTATCTAAAAAAAATATACTACGAAATATAATGCATACGAAAATGGATGATATGAGCTAAAAAACGGCTTCTCAATTCTCATTACACAATGCACACTATACTTCCTCTTTCAATAAGAAAGGTAATATAAATACTTGTAACTTACACCCTACAAAAGTTAAGCCCAAATTGAACAATATCTGTACAAGACAGGATCCAATCAGCATATCAACAACTCAGCAAAGACAAAACCCATTCATAAGTACCAAATCTTCTGTTCTCCACGTAAAATTAATACCGATATTGATACAGATGAGGCACCACTCAATTACGATTATAAGTTCACTCTAAAAAATGCTAAATCAGAAGCTCATACATTCATGTTCAAAATTCACATCAAACGATATGTTGAAGTGTATTTTTCGAGCTCTTGTTTCAAACAGTCAAAACTAATGTATACTCCGTATATATAAGAATGGTAAAAAATGCAAATATTAGCTAACAGGCATATAGTAGGGTGGCAAAGCATTAAAAATCACATACTGCATTTTGGCCATTTTATCAGGGTCACCACTAGATGAGAGCTTCCCGAGCTCAACATCCATGTTGTCTTCCTCCTCCTCATCGTCTTCATCTTTGTTCTTGTTATTGGGTTGAGTGATCCCAGTAGAAGCTAGTGGAGCAGCTGAAGTTGACGCGACATTAGGATGAGCTACAAGTTCCAATCCCACCTCATCCTCGGGTTGATCAGCATCGTTGACAGTCGCAGCAGCGTCTATCTGGGTATCAATATCATTGGCCGCTGCAGGAGACTCAGGTGGTGATTCCTCCTGTTCTACAAATGCTGCTTCGAAAGGATCTTGTGACTGCTTCATTCTACGCCCTAAACCAAAAACGAAATCACATAATTTGCTATACCGGAAAGGTTCAATTTTCGGGAAGAGGTCGAATTTCATAATTCAATCCTAACATTAAAAGGTTCTGCAACACATTAGCAACCAAATTTGATTCAATTATCAAACTTGAAAAATCACATAATCATAAGGAGAAAAGGCACATTTGTTTCAATTATCAAATTAGGGTTGAAAAATCACATAATAATAGGGAGAAAAAGGCACAATTGATTCAATTATCAAATTAGGCTAGAAAAATCACATAGTTTTAGGAAGAAAAAGCAAATTTGATTCAATCATCAAATTAGGCTCATAATTTTCTTCTTTAGCAACATAATCGCTGGTTATGATCTTTCACAAATAGTCCAAAAATTCGAACCTAAATTTCCTATACTGAAAATTAAATTGAATAGAATTAGATAAACCCTAGACTGTGAAATTGAAATTCGATGATTACAAAAAGAAACAGCAATGAGGCAGGGCAGGAGGGGCGGCCGAAAGGAGATTTAATTTCATATTCAATTATTTCGAAAAATACATAATTTTAGGGATATTTGATTCGATAATCTCATAATTTTCTTTTCTTTTGGTTATGATGTTTCATAATCTAAGAATTTACGAACCCTAAACTTAAAGCACTGATGATTAAATTAGATTAGAGCAAATATTAACCCTAGATTGTGAAATTGATATGATGATAACAACAACAAACAACTTACCTTAGAAGCTGCTTCAATGGGAATACTAGATTCATCGGAGAACGTCAACTACGCTTCAATGGAGAACGTTGAGTCCGCTTCAATGAAATAACTGAGAGAGGTAGGAATGGAGGTCTTTTAAAAGCCATGACCCGCCCGCCATATTATGGGTTAGATCCGTCTGATAAATAAATGGGACGGGTCTTTATATGATCGTTTAATTATGGGACAAGTGGGCTTTATAAGGGTTTTAAGTAAACCTGTTTTAAATATTTTTAAATATTTTCACACACCAAAGCTTGTATCAATTCTTTGTAAGTTTTTTAGATTTTTTGTTTTTTAAAAAAAAACAGCTGAAATTACATTAATTTAATTGAGTTTACAACAAACGAAAGAACAGTAAAGTAACATAAGTTACTATTGGCATAAGAAGCCCTTACACAATACCAATTAAAGTCATTAACGACATTCACCTTTAAGTTATTACAACGAGTGAGGACAACGCAAATAAGGCTTTGCCAACATTCATTTAAACATGCGATGAGACTATTGATAGAACGAGGGAAGTTGGTGATGATGTTTTGTGTTGTGTAAGGTATTTTCTAACATACAATTAAAAGTTTATGAATGTTGCTGATATAACGGAGACAGCCCAAAATCAGTATGTCTTACCCTAAGGGACCCCAATAATTCAAATGGATAAAATCCTCTTGAGATCTATGCTTCATTCATGTCAATCACATTTCTTTGCGATCTGACAAAACCATATCTTATACTCCCTCCGTCCCGTAATATAGTTCCAATTGTGTTTTTTTCACGGTATTTTAAAATGGGAGGAAAAGTGGAAGAAGTACATTAAAAGTGGAAAAAAGCTAAACAAAAGTACAAGACATGTGGATAATTTAAGGGAAAAAAAAGTAAAAAGTACAATTATAGACAAAAGTTAGAGAGAGAAAGTGAAAAAAAGTATTATGTAAGTGGATAAGCTAAGGGTAAATTAGGAAGTTCAATGAATATAGTAAAAAAATAAGGGTGTAATGGTCTTTACATACTATCCAAAAATAAAAACAGGAACAACATTTTGGGTCTCTAAAATAGGAAAACATAAACTATATTGTGGGACAGAGGGAGTATATTATCTCATACAAAGTCATGATGTTTTTAATGGCTTTTACCGTCATCACATACAAATGGGTTTAACAACACCTACTACCATCCTCCTTCAACAAGGGTTTATGTAAACTTGAAATTAAAATTTTGCTCCATCTCCCAACAAACATAAGTAACACCATTTCCATTAAAGAGACACATTTTTATTAAAGGAACACATCAAACGACTCTATTTCATCCTCCAATTAACCCTGAATTTGACTTGTCTTCGCTTTTCGATCTATTATTTTAAGTACTTCTAAAATCTAAATTTTATTTGTTAAAAAATCACTTTAATTTATTAATCCGAACTTTCAGCGATTTACTCTCAATAATCCCAACTTACATTTATTCGGGAGCACTATGAACTTTTGGGTGGTTTTTCTTCCTCTAGGTCGATTTACCAGTGACATAAAGAAAGGGTGGTTTTTATTTTGTAAAAGCCATGTGTGATGTGTCGCAACATAATTGGTCCAAATTTTTTTTGTAAAAAAAGAAAAAAATAATCAAAAACCCTTCCAAGCCAGCCACCATCCTTCCTCCCCTTAGCCCCAACCCCCAGCCCCACCGAAATTCTTCCGGCCGCCTTCCCTAATAATCGATAACAGACGGTCGGCCCCTCCCTACCCCTAAAACCACTCGGGCGACCCACCTACACCATCGAAACCACCATCCTTCCCCCATCCCCAAAACAGCCCCTCCCTTCCCTCGTCGCCCAAACAGTCGATTTTTTAGCACCCTCAATTGGAGGTTATTGTCGTGGTTGTGTTACTCAAGGTTTTTGTGATAGATTTTTTTAAAAAAAAATAAATAAATAAATAAATTGTAGTGTTCTCAAAAGTAGTCATTATAATGGTAGTTGTTGGTAAAATTTTCTTAATTTCTCACAAAATTACCATATATCTAAAGTATAATACTCCCTTCATCCCTTTTTATTGGATACGTTCTGACTTTTACATGTTTGTCAATACACCTATTTGACTATTAATAAATCTCATTACATACTTTTTAAAATTATAACGATTGAATATTAATAAAGCATTCGTTGAGACTAAGGGTGGTTATTGGGCGGGTCGGTGCGGGGCGGGGCGGTTGCGGGTCATGATGACTATTTAGCGGGGCAGGGTCGGGTCAGGGTCGAGGTAAAAGTAAAACGGGCCATTAACCTTTTGGGCAAAATTACCAAGATTGCTCAAGGAACTTAAATTGTAGTGTAAATTCTAACTCTGACTCAATACTTAATCAAGCAATATTTATGGATGAATTTACATAGAGTTTTGAGAAAGTTGAACAAATTGAAATGTACGAAATCACTAAAAGCTGATGAAATCTACAAAAATATCTTATTATTGCATTGTTTTTATTTCTACATAAGAGTCTCTGATTCATAAACATTTAAAACTAGAAAAAAACTACTAAATCAATCCTAAAGTGCTGAACTCAACTGACTAACAGACTAACTAATTCAACTGTAACAAAAATCATATTCAATTGTAACATTCAATCTTGATACTAACTCAACGGACTTGCTAACAGATTAAACTGACTTGCTAACAATCATAGCAGAAATGTGATGATCAGAATCATCAGATCAGATAAGTTGAGTTTAAGCTCTGATCAAAGTGACTAATCAGTAATCACGCTAGCGCCTGTGTACAGTGTACAGTTTTGAAACGAAATATAAGTTCACCAAGAGTACTAACCCTGTTACATCAATTGTAATATACTAGTTTCTAGGTTTACGAAATACTACTAGAATGGTCTCGGATACCACAAAAGAATGAAGCAGCAATAGGAATGAAACAAGCCCTTGGAGAAGATTGGTTTAAAGAAGAAAGCAGTAATAAAAACAGAAACTCTGTACTGAATTTTTTTGTTGCTTTTACCCTTCCAAAATGTGGGTCAGTGAGTATAATAAGGTCCAAATTTGCATAAATCAAACTTAGAACTAAAAAATTAAAATCAATCCAACTTACAATAAATTAAATTTATCCATCTTTATCAAAGTACTACATATATTAGTAGATAATATGGGCTTTGTATGAATATATAGATGGATTAATAGTATACTTTATCAAGCCTTTACTGGTTTGATTTAATTCAAGTATTTTCAAATTGTAGCTAATATAGAAATGAAAACATTCAATGGCACAAGTGCAGAAAATATGTGACATGATTAGCACAGAAAATTAAGGGTTATATTCATTCATCCATGAGTTCAGATCAAACACAATTATAATCAAGCAAAAAAACTCCCAAATTATAATTAAAAACACCAAAATAAATCAGCATTAGCAACACCAAGAACAGCAGACTCATAAGTAGCAAAATTACCCACAATCCTTTTATCACTCTCCAAGCTCAAGTAAGAAGCAAAATCACCCAGAAGAAAATCCAACTTGAATTGATTTTCGATCACATCATATAACCTAAACCAGATCTTCAATCAGATATTAAAATTGAAGAACAGATTAAGAGAGAGAAAATGATGTTACCTGAGACTCTGAGTGCGCGGCTTCAATGGAGAACTCTGAGTGCGCTTCAATGGAGAACTCTGAAGTTGCGCTTCAATGGAAGAGAGAGAAAATGGAAGAGAGGCGGTAGTAGCTGACTGCCGACCCTTACAATTACAATTATTATTGGGCTCTTTAGTTTAATTATTAAATTATTGGGCTATAAAATAAAACCCTATAAAATCCCTATAAAATAAGACCTTATAAAAGCCTTGTCCATTAAAAAATTAAAGAGTCAAAACCCTTTAATATTATGCCCGACCCTTTTGCCATTGGGTAGCCCTACCCAATTATCAGGCCTAATTGAGACGAATCAAATAAGATCTCACATAACTCTTTTACTTTTGTGAGTAAATTTGAAGATTATCTAATACTCCCTCTTTTCAGAATACATGACACAGTCAACATTGCACACATGTCAATGCACTACTTTGACTTTATTTGTATATAATTAAATATTAATGAAAATTATTTTAAAAATTATATTTTGAAACTTTATATATATACCTATTTAACAACATATTTTATGATAAAATATGTTTTTATTATGTTAGTAAAAAATTATTATCAAAACTAATACATGAATAGTAAAAAAAGTCTAACGTCTCATGTATTTTGGGATGGAGGGAGTATTATGAATAGTATTTAAAATCTGAACATAACCAATAAAAAGAAACGGAGGTAGTATTATGAATAGTATTTAAAATCTGAACATAACAAATAAAAAGAAACGGGGGGAGTATTATGAATAGTATTTAAAATCTGATAATAACCAATAAAAAGGACAGAGGGGTTTCCTACAAAATTAATTATCCTAAAGTAATTGAAACACTTTAATATACATTTTTGTTGATACATAACATTATTTTACATAAACATTTATGAATTAACAAATTACATAAAATTATTTATGAATTAACAAATTACATAAATATTTATAATTATAAAAACAAATGATTTATTCAACAAAAATATTATTATTTTTCCCCCGGCCACCAAAATATCAGAAACGGCTATGCCTAAGAAGTTGCTTCAACGGAGGATAGAAATATTAGAATACGTTTCAATGGTCCGAAACTGAGAGAGAGGAGTAAAACAGATAGGTCTACATTTTATACTCGTACAGTCGTGCTTGTATTTAGGGGTGTTCAAAAAAACTCGACCCGGTTGTCCCATCCCGTTTACCCGATGACTCGCAAAAAACCCGATGGGAAATTGACAAATTTTTCTGTTTTTCGGAGTACCCGTCCCGCTAAGATAGCAGTTTCGTGGGCCGGGACATGGGACAGGCTTTGCTAATCTTGGGTACCCGATACTCGTTTAAAAAAAAAAAAAAAAAAAAAAAAGGTTGTTTGAGTGAGGTTTTCAAGTGGGTAGGTAGGTTTCGATTGGTTTGAGTGAGGTTTCGAGGTGGGGTTGTGGGTGGTGGAGTAGTGGTCAGGGGTTGGGGTGGTGGGATTTTAGGTGGCTAGGATTTTCGGCTGGTCAGAGTGGGTATCATTCG